CTCTGTGCTAATTTTGTAGTTACTGGGTCACACTGTGGAGTTCACAAGTTCCCACATGTCCCATAATTCATGTATGCTCCCCTCTGGACATGAGGTAGCTGAGGCCAAGAGAAGGAGAGTGAGCTGTCCAAGTCAAGTAGCTTGGAAATGGCAGAGCCAGGACTGGAATCTAGTCCTCCTGATTCCTCCCCTACTATGTACCTTCAACCAGGCCCCAAGCCTTATTTGCCCTCTCAGGTATGATCAAAGTGCCACATGCTCTGAAAAGTTAAAAAGACCAGACCAGCCAGGCACAATGGCACACACCTGTAATCCCATTAACTTGGGAGGCTAAAGCAGGAGGATCAAAAGTTCAAGATCAGCCTTGGCAATTTAGCAAGACCCTCAGCAACTCAATGAGACCTTGTCTCAAAATATAAAAAGGTCTGGGGATGTACCTCAGTAGAATAGCACCCCTAGGTTCAATTCCCAATACCAAAAAAGTGAGGGGGAAGGCCAGGCCAGTGGGTGGTCAGTAGAGGTAATCATTTTCCCAAGACCAATTGACAACCACTAGTATAAAAGGACAAGAGCTGCCTCTCAAGTCCCTTTGTGCCACAATGAGAGACCTGGGCTCTCTGCTGGTTACCTGGGATGAGCCCCTGACTGACCCAGGTCCCAGGAGCTAATTGGACACATGCCTAGCAGCACCATTCCAGTGCCTGCTCAGCACTCAGGAGGGATGGGAATGGGCATGCATTTCTCCTGTCTTCCCTGGGCCAGTCTGTGGTCACCACCTCCCTTCTTCCCTCCCAACAGAGGCTTGACCTGGGCAGGAGCGAAAGGAGCCTTGGGATGGCAGTAGCCTTGAAGCTTGCCCACCCATACAACAAGCTCTGGAGCCTGGGCCAGGATGACATGGCCATCCCCAGCAAGCCCCCTGCTGCCTCCCCTGAGAAGCCCTCAGCCCTGCTTGGGAGCTCCCCGGCCCCGCCTCACAGGCCCCAGACCCAGGACAACAACCTGAACCCCAGCAACAAGGAGGAGGCTCCCACCCCGACTTCAGGCAGTATCACCATTCCCCGGCCACAGGGCAGGAAGACCCCAGAGCTGGGCATTGTGCCTCCACCACCCACTGCCCGCCTGGCCAAGCTCCAGGCTGCCAGTGGCACCCTCGGGGACTTTTCTGCAGAGCGACTACAGACAGATCGGGAAAAGCGAGCTGCCCCAAGCCCAGCCCTATTCCCAGGGCTTCTCCCCAGTGTTGCCCCCCAAGGCCCCACAGAACTCCTGCAGCCACTCAGCCCAGCCCCAGGGGCTCCAGGCACAGGCAGCGATGCCCTGCTCGCCCTCCTGGACCCCCTTAACACAGCCTGGTCAGGCAGCACTGTCCCGCCATACCCTGCTGCCCCAAATATGGCCACCCCATTCACCCCACAGTTCAGCTTCCCCCCCATGGGGACCCCTACCCCTTTCCCACAGCCACCGCTCAACCCCTTTGTCCCATCTGTGCCAGCAGTACCACCCACCCTGCCTTTGAGTTCTACACCTTCCAGGCCTTTCGGGGCCCCTCCAGCTTCTCTGGGGCCGGCTTTTGCACCCAGCCTACTACTGTCCAATTCTGGCTTCTGTACCCCTCATAGGTCTCAGCCAAACCTGTCTGCCCTCTCCATGCCCAATCTCTTTGGCCAGGTGCCCGTGGGCGCCCACACCAGTCCCCTGCAGCCACTCGGCCCTCCAGTAGTTGCCCCGTCAAGGATTCGAACATTGCCCCTGGCCCGCTCAAGTGCCAGGTCTGCTGAGGCCAAGCAGGGGCTAACTCTGAGACATGGAGACCCCCCACTCCTGCCTCCCAGACCCTGTCAGGGCCTGGAGCCAGCACTGCAGCCCTCTGCTCCTCCAAAGGCCAGAGACCCCTTTGAGGATTTGTTACGGAAAACCAAGCAAGATGTGAGCCCAGCCCCAGCCCCAGCCCCAGGCTCCGTGGAGCAGCTCAGGAAACAGTGGGAGACATTTGAATGAGATATCCTGAGGGTTAGGGCCAGCTGGGCCCAAGTGCTGCCATCCAGTGTGCGGCTCCCCTCTGCCCAGGTTCTGCTGGTGGGAAGGGATGGGACCTGCTCTCTACCCTCCCCCTCCACACTACCCATCTCTGAGGTCCAGCCCTGGGGAACGGTGCCAGTCGCAGCCTGGGAACTATCCCAGCTCCTAGGCGCCCGTCCTACCTTACTCCCATCCTCCTCAGCACCCTGCTTGGGTTTTGCACTAGAGAGGTCAACAGGGTGGCCACTGCCCAGACCCCTCCTGCTCACTGTCTCTTCAGAGACACCCATGCAGCCATGAGGTTCAAGGCTGCTTCTCTGAAGCCCAGAACTCCTGTCTGTCCTTTGACCATCCCAGCACCCCCAACAGGCACAGGTGTCGGTATCACCCAGCTTGTCTGCACCAGTATAGATGGCTTCAGGGCTGGAAGTCAGGGCCCCTCCTGGACTGGAGGAAATCCCTGGTGGTCATCTCCAAACCCCTTCTAGCAATACTGCACTCATGCTTTCATGAGTCTGCCCCAAGCCCCAAACTTCGGTTGTTTCCACGAGCCAAGGGAACTCGGGGCCACTTTTGATGGCCAAACCCAGCCCCAACCAGCTCAGCAGGGGGTCTGGGAGCACCAGCAACTCTTGATTTGTAGAAGAAAAAAAGAAGCCCACAAATCCAAGTATCAGAAGTCAGCTGTCATCCCCATACCTCTGAATTCTCCTGTGTCTCCAATCACTGTCAAAGCTGGGACTTGGCTGAGCCTCCTAACACTTGGGGCTTCGAGGGCAGAGTTGAGCAGCAGCAACCCAGATTCCTGCTCACAGGCCAAGCCTAATGCCACAGACAGATGCCTGGGCTCCCTGGAGCAGGGACGCCCCTTGAAGGACTTTCATGGAATGGACAAATGTGCCCCTCTTAGCCTGGGGCAGGAGGAAGCCTAGAAACCAGCCCCTCCCACCTGCCTCAAGCTTCGCGCCAGCACAGAAATTCCTAAGGCCAAAGTTAAATTGAAATATTTTGTTATTGTTTCTTTTATCTTTCTTTTCTTTTTTACTTTATTGATTTGATAAATCTTGAAAACTGATTCCTTTCAATAAACCAAGTTAAAATAAGACCCAACCATTTAAGAAAACAACCATCTGAGACATACAGGAAATTGTGAGCATTTTGACCTGATTTCTCATTTCCTATTTGTGAATGGTCAGACACAGTCCCTCTCCCCTCTGCCTGGGTGTGTCTGACAGGGTCAAAAGGGTCCCTGGAGGTCCCCATCACTCCAGGGAGCTTCCTCCACATCTGAGAGGCTGGGAAGCCACTGCCACTGCTCATAAGTCAGTGATGCCTGGCCTCCTGAGTCATTTGACCCCAGAATAACAAGTTTCTCCTATCTTGGTAATGTTCTGTGGTTGCTGGGGAGCCAGGTCTCACCTGGGCCACATGGGTCCCTCCTTCAGGCACTCAGGTGTATCGGCACAAGTCCCAGTTCCACTCCTCTGCCCTGGGCAGACTCCAGGCCCCATTAAGGACAGGGAAGCCCCCCACAGAGGGGGCAGAAGATGAACAGAGGCACTGGGTGGCCCAGGAAGCAGAAGGCACCCCGCAGTTCCCCTGGTTGTGCTGGGTGGCTGCTGTCATGTGCTCCCTGTTCACATGAGCACCGATGTCTTCTTCGCTGGCTGGACGGAATTTACAAACCCAAGGATGAACTTTGTGTGAATTCAATAAAGTCTTGGGGAAAAGGCTGGAATACTTGTGTCCTTGAAGGAAGCTCTGGGGGAGGGGAAGCCCCCTGAGCAGACCCTTAGCCATCTTCTCCATCCCTCATACAAAGGTGGAGGCCAGGTGAGGGGCAGAATTTGCCCTTGGCCAACTCCAACACCTGTGCCCATGGAGCTCTGAGCCAGTTACCCACTTCCCTCCAGGCAGAGCATGGTGTGGACTGGTGACAGTCCACACAGTCCTGCTGGGAACACGAAGCAGGGATACAGCCACCAACAGTGCCAAGGGCACCCAGGCTTCAGGACAGAACAAGTTCAAAGAGACACCTGGAAAGTCACCCCCACAGATCTCTCACCAGCAAGGGCAGAGCCTTGGATTGGACAGTGCCCTAGTTGGGCACTAAAGTTTGGAGGAGAGATCTAGACCAGTCACCCACAGTGGCCAATGTCACCAAAATTAAGTTGAAATGTGATTTGTCTATATGTTGGCATTCCACGTGAAGTGTCTCTTCTAAGAAGTCTGCAGCTAGCACAGGTTTCAAATCTAGGACTTCGGTAACCCATCTGAGGGGCCAACTTGCCCTCTCCTCTCCCAGGGTCATACAAAGACCTAGGGAAAGGCAGCCCCATCTCCTACAGGATAAGGCCAAACAGCCTGGTGTTCAGGGCTCTCAGCTTCAACTGAGCCTCAAGTGCCCCCAATCCTATGCCTTCTAGAGATGGCTGAGACCTCAAGGGGCGCCAGGTAAAGTCAGCCTCCAACTTCGAAGCGTAAAATATGTGGTCTGGCCTTGGCACTTGGAGCCCACAATCACAGAAGGTGCTAGCCTGGGAAACGAGGACGAAAGAGCACATCTCCGGGTCACGGGGGGACTCCATGAAGCTCAGAGGAAGCCAGGCCCTCAGGAGGGTGTCCACTCGGATCCAAGGTCACAATGTGCTGAGCCATGTCAGGATGTAGCAAATTCTTCATGAGTCCGCCTCTGAGGGCCCGGCCCTCAGAGTTCAAACTTCTGAACTGAAGTTTGCAAACTCTGAGGGCTTCCTTCCAGTCCTTTCCCTGAGTCATCCCAACAGCCAGACACTCAGGAGACTGGCCTGCAGGCATAAGAGCAGCCAGGGTTGAAGAACTAGGTAGGTTTGTGAGGGCTGGGGAGAAGGGGGCACTGCTCCTTCCTCCCAGTGCCCCTCTGGCCTCCTTGCCAGGCCCCTTGCTCTAGTTAGGGGAGACAACACCTCCTGATACCTAAAAGGAAACCCAGACAGTCCTTCACTTCAGATGGCAGTTTAACAACTTTCCAAATTCTTTCCCCCTTGCTAGCCCCTCGATCCTCACAACAGCCCTTGTGAGGTAGGCAGGGGGCCCTCCTGTTTCTACAAATGATCAGTCAGGCGGGAGAGCTCAGGACTCGGGTCCTCTGCTTCAGCTGGCCTGCCCTGCACAGACGTTGGGTCCAGGGGTCTGTGCTTCCCTTGTGGGACTGGCTCTGGCACCAGAGACAGATCTGTCTAAAGGATCTTGCTCGGCCTCCATGAACTCCCTCCACCCCCACCCAGTCTCCCAGCTGTCTCCAAGGCACGGGCTGCCCTTGGAGGTGAGAGAAGGGGCCAGAATTAAAGATCTGATTCTTGGACAAGCCCTGGACTGGCTTCTGCAGAACATGCAGCCTTGGCTGCCCCTGCCCCAGAGCTATCCAGGGTATCCACACCCCCAGAGCAGCCACCCCCCCCCATGGGATCATCTGCTCCCACCCACTACAGTCACAATCACCTATATAAGAGGCGGTGGACACATCCGTGACCTCGTCAGAGCACTCACAGTGGAATCTGTGGGGCTGCACGTCCCCCCCACACACACACTCCTGGCACACCATGGGCACTCATTGGTGCCCTCCCACTCACAGCTGAGCATCTGCCAAGGCAAATCCCGGCAGGTCAGGTGGCAAAGCTCACACCTCACAGGCCCCTCTCTGCTTCCCTGAGTGGCTCCCCTGTTCCTCAGTCCACGATGGGGCAGAGGCAGGGGCTGCCAGCTATGGGACACTCCCAGTGGTTGTCTGGGCCCTGTAGTGGCCTCCTTGAGTCACCAGGTGGAAATCCTGCAGGATCTCTGGGGCCTGGCATGAGCAGCCAGGCTGGTCTAGATAAGTCTCTCTTCGGGTGGCACCTTGAGAACACTGTCCATCTCCAGCCGGGCCCCAGCCACCTCCTGCTGGCTTGGGCTATAGGTGCCTTCTGACTGGCGGCGTTTTCTGGCAGCCAAGATCCCTGAGAGGAGGCCCAGGAGGAGGAGGAGGAGGCAGGCACAGGCAGCAGGCACAGCTACCTCCAGCAGCGGGAATGGCAGTGGCAGAGGCAGGCCTTTCTGCAAGAAGACAGAGAAGGCACAAGAACTTGCTCAGAGAACACCTGGCAGGAGAACTGTTTTCCCAGGAAATGGTGAGAGACCCAACCCAGGGCTAGGCAAGCAGGGGGCCAGCACGCCACCTGTCAGAACCACCACAAGGGGGCGCTGCACAACTGAGGGGCTGTGGCTGGAAGGACAGAAAACACACTCATTGAACGCTCAGCACAAGGGCAGCACTGACCCTACAATGGTCTGATGAAGCAGGAGGGGGAGCAGGGACAGGTAGCTGACGGCAAGGTCAGAATCCACCAGGGCCTGCCAGTCCAAGGGGGCTCCTCTGACAGTTTGTCCCTGGGAGAAGCAGGTCAGTTTCTAGGGGCCAGCAAACCTCCTCCCCATCTCCAATCACAGATCCCCCCAGGATGTCCCTGTTTAGATTCTACATGCCTGGAATTCTGAAGTCCCAGGAATCACAGGATTCCAGAGCCTCAGAGTCTCAGTCCTGCCTCTATACCTTGAGGCGTCTCAGCCCATTGTGACCTGGATCTCCAAAGCCAGCACCCAGCCCCGAAGAAGCTGCCCCAAAACTATAAAATTCATGCCAGTCCTGGGAGGACCTCTCAGACCTCCACCCAGGCAGGCCCTTTGGGGACAGCTGTAAAGCCATTTCCTCCCCACTGCCTGGGAGGAGGGTGAGTAGGTAGGGTCGCTAGAGGCTATAAAAGTTCAACTTGAAAGGGACCATTCCCCATAAGCAAAGGGATCTGCAGTTTATGACCCGGGCTGCCAGAAGCCTGTGGAGATCAAGGCTACACCTCAGACTGAGCTTCCTGAGCCCCCTCCCAGCAGCCCCCATGGTGGGCCCACTGCTCCTCCAGTGCCAGTTCTACCCCAGGGCTGGGATGCTGGGCGCCTTCTCAGTTGGGCCTCACTGGGGTCAGGGACATACACTTTTATAGTGGCCAAACCTCTCTGGTTCAGAATCCTGGGCTCCTCAAATCTTCCTGGATCAGAAACCCTCTAAGATTACAGGCTCTAAGATTCTGTGGGCCCTAAATTCTCATCCCAAATTGGACCTGGCAGACCCCAATGTTCCCACTGTCATTCCCCTAGGCACCGTGCCTGGCCAGGAGCCTCATTGACAGATGGTGGGCCCCCAAGAATCTCCTAGATGAAACCACCTCCTGCGGGCAGCATGGAAGGGGCCTGAATCCCCTAGCCTGTTCCTCCTCAGCCATGACAAGGTTGGCCCAGAAACAACTCTACAAATGTCCTATACACTCTGCCCCCAACAGCATGGCACTGAAGTTCAGGCAAGCCTGTCAGGGCACTCCTGCACCCTGGGCATCACTCACCACCACTTCGCAGAACTGGCCGGAGAATCTGGTGCTGCAGATGCATTCATACGCCCCATCCACTTTCCGGCAGGTGCCCCCATTCAAGCAAGGATTGGCTTCACAGGGCGGTGTGGGGTTCTGACACCTGGAGAGGGAGGAATGCTGAGCATCCCTACCCCCAGGGCAGCCCCGTGTCCTCCTGCTGCTCTAGCACACTCCCCAACCATCAAAGCTCATCCATCACCTGTCCCCAAGCATTTTCTTGCTCAGCTGAACCCTGCGGATGTCTATGGTCACCCACTTGGACCTAGCACTCATGACCCAAAAGGACTCTGTGAAAATGACAGGAGATCGTGTGGAAGGACAGGTGCCCAGGGACACCGACCCCACCTTCTGGAGCCCCAAAATCTGCGCTTCTGCTGTCCCCACCTGACATGGGGGGGGGGGGCTGAGGACTGAGCTCACAAAAGCCAGCAGATCACTACTGCCCAGCAGGCCTCGGCCGAAAGGATGGTCTGGGAAGCCCAGAAGGAAAGAACTCCGGTTACAGTGGTGGCATGCCTGGCACTGTGACACAGCCAGTGAGGGAGGAAGTGGTGAGTGATCATCCCCACTTCCCCTACCTGGGCTGCAGGGACCCAGGGGCCACCATGCCCAGCCCTCCACACCTGAGTCCACCTCCCAGTCTCCCGACCTCCACACACACCTCTGGCCAGCAAAGCCCTTCTGACAGCTGCAGTTGGTGCCTGGGGGTCCGCCCTCACAGGTGCCACCATCAAGGCAGGTGACGTTGAAGCTGCATTCCTCCAGCAAGAGAGGCGTCCTGGGGAGAAAGTGTGAGGCTGCACCCTGGCCCTCTGGCCCTCTGCACCCGCCCAGCTAAGCATGGTGCTCTCATCTTTGGAATTCAGCCCTCCACATGGGTCAGGGAAGCCATGTCTGGGTGGGAGGGAGGGGACCCAGGGCTGCCATTCTGCTGCTCAGGCCCCACCCACAACACCTACACAACCTGTGGGCAGGGCAGGAACATTTCCTGAGTCTCAGAGGCCTTTAAGAAGCCCGGTGGGAAGGACTTGCAGGGGTGACAAAAGTCCTACCCCCAGGGCAGCCCCATGTCCTCCAGCTGCTCTAGCCTGCTCCCCAACCATCAAAGCTCATCCATCCCCTGTCCCCAAGCATTTTCTTGCTCAGCTGAGCCCTGCGGATGTCCATGGTCCTGGCCCTCTGGCAGAATGCACCTCTCTCCACTCCTGACCTGGGAGACCAGGAGGCGTGAATATCACTGCCCCCTCGAGGTCATAGGCTCCCGACTGCGGCCCCCCAGACAGCAGCATTATTTGAAATTCAAATTTAGCTGGACGTATCTTAACCTCTGTTTGATCCTTCAGTGCAACCAACTGAACTATCACCCCACTTCACAGATAAGGGCGAGGAGGCTCAGATAAGGGAGGCGATGACCCCGGACTGGACAAATCTGCTGCCTCTTTGGAGACTCTTCTGCCCCTCCCATCATTCCAGGGGTTCTGCCCTCACCCAACCCGACCCAGGTGAACCTTCGGTGCCCTCGGGCACAGGTCTCCAGGCTTTCCGCACCTGCAGCGCAGGCCCACGAAGCCCGGTGGGCAGCGACACTCAAAGTGGCCGTTTGGGCGCGCGTGACAGCGTCCGCGGGCACAAGGCGCGGAGCGACAAGGGTCGGCTAGAGCCTCGCAGCGCGGACCTTCCCAGCCCGGGCCACAGGCGCAGGCGAAGGCGTCAAAGAGATCGCGGCAGGCGCCACCGTGCAGGCAGGGAGAGGACGCACACACCGGCGCGCCCAGGCAGCCAAGGCGCGGAGCAGGCGACCCCGGCCAGACCGCGAAGTGCTCTCGGGGACCTGGGGACACGCCGGGCCGCGGTCCTGCCAGAGGCAATGGGAGGCCGCCGATCGCCACCCGGCCCAAGCAGCCGGTGAAGTTCTCGGCCAACAGGACGTGCGCAGCGTCTGGGCCCTGCAGGAAGTCCAGGTGACCCGCCAGGCCGCGCAGCGCCACAGGTGTCGCGGCGCTGTCCAGCCACAGCAGCCAGCGCGAGGCGGCGGCCGCCGGTTGTTCCATGGCCAGGCGCACCCGGTGCCAAGCGCCATCGGCCACCCGAGGCCCGGGAGCGGGCAACACTGCGCCTGACACACCGCGGCCGCTGTGCACGCTGGCAGCCAGCGAGCCGTTGCGCACCGCCAGCCAGAGGCCAGCCTGGGCGCCAGCTGAAGCGCGCAGCAGCCCGGCCTCGGTGTCACGCGTACGGAAGGCAAGCGCAAGCCCGCTGAGCCGGTGCCCTGACGACATGTTGTGCCCACTGAACGCAGCCGGGGGGCCCTCCTGGAACGTGGCCTCAGCCACACCTGCGGAGAGAGGAAGAGAGCTTGGGAAACGACTCAAGGGACCTTCTCCAGAGATGCCATCTCTCCCGCCAGCATGCAGGTGGTACTGTCTGTTGCCCCATTTCAGGGCCATGATGGGGGCTGGGCACACCTACCCACCTATCCACCTACCATCCGTCCAGGAAACTACAGTGGTCCCCTACCCTATCCCGTGCACTCCCTACCTCTGGGGTGTCAGTTCTGGAACAATGCTGAGAAGACAAACCAAGATGCAACCCTGCCCTTGAGGTCATAGGCCCAATAATATTACCTGCCCTTCCCTCTCCCTGAAGCTCCTCTGTTTCATCAAGGAGGCTCCCTTTGGCAGACAGGCATCTTTATACATGGGCACAATATCTTTATTTTGTTTATTTATTTTTATGTGTTGAGGATCAAACCCAGGGTCTCACACGTTCCAGGCGAGCGCTCTACCACTGAGCCACAACCCCAGCCCAGCCAGGCATCTTTTTAAAGTACCTACTTAAAACCTCCAGTGACTCCCTACTGCCATTAGGACTTGCCATGCCTAGAATTCAAAGGGTCTGGAACTTCACCCCATTTCCTGTTGCACCCCTCTGTCCTTGCCTTTCAAAGGTTCTGGTAGACCTCAGGATCTTTCCTCTCCCTGAAATGTCCTTCCCTGAGGCTCCTCAGAGTTTGCCCTGGAAAACCCAGCACCTGCTTGCCTCCTCCAGAGAGCCGGTCCCAGTGGAGGTGCTAGCCCACCACTATGGGCTGGGGTTGGCATTCCTGGTCCATGGTGCAGCATCCCCTCCCCCAAAAGATATAACCAGCACAAGTACCCAACACTGCCCAGAGCACAAACTCACAGACAAAGCCCTCCGGGACTTCCTCACAGGTGGCAGGTGGGAGGCAGGGCTGGCTGGGGCACCATAACTGCTGGGCACATGTAGGCCCCGTGAAATTGCCAGGGCAGGTGCACTGAAAGTCATTCCAGGTGACAAGGCAAGTTCCACCATTGAAACAGGGATCAGGCTGTGGGAGAGCGGAGGGAGAGGCAGCTCAGGCCCGCAGTTGGCACCATCCCCATAACCATCATATAAGCAGTTCTTCATTGAGCATCTACTAAGACACATGACCTCCTCACGGACACACAGGGAGAGCCAGGCACAGCAGCATGTGCACCTTCAGTCCCAGCCACTCAGGAGGCTGAGGCAGAAGGATCACTTGAGCCCAGGAGTTTGAGACTAGCCTGGGCAATATATTGAGACCCCATTTCAAAATAGGAAAGAAAAAAAACGTCACCATCATCCCCCATTTTACAGATGAGGCTCAGAAAGGTGAAGCCACTTCCTGAGTCACCCAGCCCATTAACTAGAAGAAGTGGAGTTCACACCCAGACTATTCAATTCCAGAGCTGGTACTTTGTTCACAAACACAGAGGGTCCCTTTCCTCCATCTCAGGCAGCCTCTGTCTAGGTCAGGGTGACTGTCTCACACAGGGACTGGGTAGGGGAGGCACAGGGACCACCAAAGAGTAGGAGCGGCAGGGTGGAGGGAAGTGAACGCAAACCTTGCTCTGCCACTACAGCACTGGGATCACGGGCAGGTCACTTCTAGTCTACTTCCTCCTTAGCAAAAGGACAAGCCAGCCCCCAGGGACACAGAACAGATCCAGAGTAAAGAACCCACACCCGGGCACTCACACTGCACGTGTCCTCAGAGACGCAGCCCCGGGTGAGGTTCTGGGCCTGGCCGCCCAGCTCACCGAACTGACTGGAGTTCTCCGGCCGCAGTGGAAAGAAGGGGAGGTGGAGGCCATTGAGTCGCAGGTCCTGGAGACAGCCTCGGAAGGGCCCGCCCCAGGGCCGGGTGTCAGCAGGGAGAGGCCTCCCCCCCACGTGCACCTGCTGGCCCACGTCCTGCAGTTGGTCAGGCCCGAAGCTGAGTGTCACCAGATGACGGAGCCCGTCGTCCCAGCGCCCAGGCAGCGGCACAGCAGGACTGCCCAGTGCCTCTGCCCAGACCTGGCCCTCCCTCAGGAAGACCGTCAGGCCAGCGGCCGAGGCGTTGGCAAACTGGAGCAGCAGGCCGGCAGGCTCCCGAGTGCGCAGCAGGAAGGACACGGTGAGGTTGGGGCCTGGCAGCTCAGGGAGCAGGAAGGAGGCCGCGCTCGGGGTGCCCCCCAGGCCAAAGGTGGCAGCAGGAATCTCTGCAGGGAGACAGTGCTGGCGTGAGGCCGGCAGGTCGGAGCCCGGTGTTAGGCGCTGCCTTTCCACCTGGGTCTTTCCTCACCGTCAGCACACGTGGGTCCGCTATGAGGCCGGGGGCAGTCGCAACGGAAGTGAGTCCACAGATCCATGCAGGCACCTCCATGGGCACAGGGCAGAGGCTGGCACTGCTCCTGGCGCTCACAGCCCAAGAAGACATTGTCACTGAGATGCTCAGGCAGCAGAAGGTGCCCGTCCACATACACATCTTGGAGGCAGCCAGCAAAGGCCAAGCTACCCAGCTGCGTAGAGCAGGGCCCAGGAGGCCGGGGGGCCACTGAAGCTGTGGGACTTGGGACCATAGGACCAGAGGCCACACAGAGATGGAAAGGGCAGCCCTCATGCCACAGTCGCAGCTCCAGGTTCCCCAGGCGCAGTGCCACCTCCACCTGGTGCCAGTGGCCATCGTTCAGGGTGAGGTCTGGCAGACTCAGGACAAGTGCATGGGTACCATGGCTCAGTGTGGCTTGAAGTGTGGCCCCCACCAGTGCCAGCTCCAAGCTGCCCTGGGTGTCAGTTCGAGTAGCCAGGGCCCCAGCAGGCAGTGTGGTACGAAACCTCAGTGCCAGACCCAGAGGGCCACCAGCTGGCACTGATGCCCACACGGGGCTTCCAGCTACCACAGAAAAGGTGGTATTCTGGCCACAGAAAGGCCCATGGGTACCAGGGGGGCAGTGGCAGACATAACTGTGGACCCCAGACTTGAAGGTAGGGATGCAGGTGGCAGCGGGTGGGCAGGTGTGGCCCAGGCAGCCAGTGAGCTGCACAGAACAGTCATGTCCACCCCAGGGCTCTGGGCACTGGCAGATGTAGCCTGCCACAGCATCGTCGCAGGTTCCACCATGGAGACAGGGCCCTGACAGGCATTCGTCCACATCTTCCTGACACGTCAGGCCTTCAGGAGAGACCAGGCCAAGACTCAGTAGCGCCCAGGGCCAGAACCACATTCTCAACCCAGAATGTGCGTGCCTCTTGTGGTGTGAACCTCCATCCCTACCAACCAAACACTTCCCAAAGGATCTCTTCTCGTCCCTGCAGTCCTTTATAGGCCCAAATCCAAGATTCCCCTTCCCTTGCCATGTCTGGTGAGTCCCCCTGCCCTTGATCCCTTAAACATCCTCCATACCCTCTTCCCCCGCCTCATGTCTCCTGCCTCGCCAGCTTCCTGGGACACAGTCCAGCAGCCTCCAGCTCACCTGCCTCAGAAGCCCCTCTCCCATCTGCCCCAACCAGAGATCTACTCCTGAAATAGCACCCGGGAGCTCCCTCTGCTTCTTCAAGTTCAGTTGCTCACCCAGGCATTCACGCATCCGGAGTCCATGGGCTAGGCCCTACCAGGATCTCAAGCCTCAATTCTGCTCCCTAAAAGCCTTGAATTTCCACTTCCTCCAAGCATTTCCCGGAAATTCCTGCCTTGGGAGCTTTGCTTATTCCATTCCCTCATCCTCCATTACTCTACTTTTCAAATTTCTACTAACCCTGCAAAATCCAACTCAGAGCGCCCAGGGCCTTTCCAACCCAAACAACTCTGTCACTCCCCACTCCCAGGGACAACTCCCCAGAACCCTGTAGGCAAAGTTTTCTGTTTATTCAGATACATCTCCACCGGGGACCTGAACATCTTTGGTGCCCAGTAAAGGACATTACTTTTGTGGGCAGTGTGATAAAATGGAAGGGTGGGGTTTGATTTATGCACCTGGGGCACATTGGGCCATCCATCCCCAGGCTTGTCCCCTCGGTTCCTCTTTTCCAGTGTCCCCTGCTGGCTATATGGGACCACCTCATCCTCTTCTCCAGCCTCCCCACAGGTACACTGGCCCCAGCTTGAGTCAGGAGGCCATAGCCCAATGCCAGCTTAGTCAGCTCCACAGAACAAACCCAGACAAGCCCTGCCCCAAACCCAGCTGGAGGAATCCACACCCAAAGCAGCCACCAGGATTCGGAGCCCAGCCCCAGTCAGCCTGAAACACAGCCACCTCCTGGGAACCACCAGCCACCTGCCCCAGCTTCCCCCTGGCCCCCGTCCTCCATACCTGCCAGGAGCCACAGACCCCCCAATAAGGGGTGCAGAACCCACAGCCACATTGCAGTACCCCACAGATGGGCTGAGAGTGGTGGCAGGTGCCGAGGCTCGGGAGCAGAGCTCCCTGCCTGGCTGCCTGCCTCCTCCTGAGTCTGCTCAGGAATGCCAGGCGCTGGCCTCCCCCACACACAGAGCTGCCAAAAGGGAGGATGGGCCAGGATGCCAGCCCCACAGCCAGGACCTCCTGCTAAACTCTGACCTCAGAGATCTGCCCTCCCAGTCCCTGGTCAGCTGAGCTCAACTGGGAAGGAGTTGGGTTCCCACTGACACTGGTGAACCTGGCGGTCCTGGGCCTCTCTAACCTCCGTTGCCTCCTCTGTGAGATGGGGACTCTAAACCCTCCCTCATTGGGCTGTGGCAGTGAGAAGCAGGATGCCCAGAAAATGCTTTCCAGAGTCCTGGCATGCAGTGGGTCACCCACTCCTAGAGGACTCAGGGGACCTCAGCCAATGGAAGCAGCAGATGGGCTTGCAGGGCTCTCAGAGCACTGGCCACTAGGAGGGGATGCTGAGCCCCAACATCTTTGGTGAGTGAGGGCAGGAGGAATGGTCGTGATCACCACCGCCTTCCTCAGGTCAGGGGAGCCCCAGGAACCTTCCAGGGGGAGAAGGCAGTTTGCCCAGAAGGAATGCAGGAGGTGTGGGGGAGGCGCACACATTCCAGAGGGGGTGGGGACACTGGGAGTGTGCGCCGTTCCTCAGGTTCACGCGTGTCCATGTGTCTGCATCTGCATGGACCCAAGGCAGGGAGAGAGGTTTGTGCCTACTCCCAGAGGAAAAGCTTGCTCTGTCGGCCCCAACTCTCTGCACTCACCCACCTTTCCTCCTCTGTCCTCCTTGGAAACCTCTGGGCCTCAGTCAACTCCTTTGTTGTTTCAGTCTCATCCTCTTCATGATGCCCCAGACAGCCTCAGTCCTGACCCCGTCTATGGATCCACACCTACCCCTCTCCTGGCCCCCAGCCCCCGGACCACCAGCCCCAGCGCACTCCAGAGACTGGATGAGCAAGACTGAACTCACCTTCCTCCAGTCAGTTCCCCCAGGGCACCTCCAGTCAGTGTCCCCGGTCAGTGTCTCCCAGGGCACTGGTAGAAGCTCACTAGTGTCCTTGACACCTCCCATTCATGAGGACCTATAGCTGTCCCTTCTAAATACTTCTCAAGTGGATCAGCCCCCTCCCCTCCCACTTCCAAAGCCTGATGGGGCTCAGCCCCCCTCAGCTGTCTGTCACCTGGGCAACTACACCCACCTTCTCCCTCATTTCCTGTCTGTCCCCATCAATCCATACATCAGACAAAAGGGACCTTTCTCATCCAGGCCCGACAACTCTAACCCTGCCCGCCCCCAGTGCCCACCCCACCCCAGTACCTGCATAGCCATCCCCACAGTGGCACTGGAAGCCGTTGGGCAAGTCCTGGCAGTGGCCTCCGTTCAGGCATGGCCATGAGGCACACTCGTCCACGTCCACACTGCAGTCGTCCCCTGCAAGAGGCTTGGCTGAGGCCCCCTGCACCCTCAGAGCCAGACCAGATCTAAAAGGGTCCATTCTTTGGCAAGGGAGCCTGAGGTCCAGAGGGAGGGCTGTTTCAGGCAGGGTGGCACAAGACCACCTGGTGGCAGGGCCGTGGGCGGACTGGGGATCCCTCCCTGGACGTCTGGACACTGGCTGACTGCTCACCCTCAAAGCCTGGAGGGCAGTGGCACAGGAAGCCAGCAGCGTGGCGGAAGCTGAAAGCGCCCGGGAAGGCAGCCTGGGCGCCCCCGTAGAGGGTTGGGTCTGAGCGCTGCAGGCACAGGCCACCGTTGAGGCACGGCCCCGCAGCACACTCGTCCTCATCCACTTCGCACAGCTCTCCGGTGAAACCTGAGGATGCACACGTGGGCATCAGGTCACGCGAGGTCATCAGGCATCTCCCCTCCACTGCCACTAAGCCAGCCCATGGCCAGACAGGGACGACAGCTCTGGATGCAGTCAACAGTGAGGGTCGCTTTGAGGGGCTAGAAATGACCATGGAGACCTGCAGCAGCACATCATTCCTACTGTCTTGTATTACCAAGCATGTCGTTTGTGCCAGGTGCTCCACCCCCATTACACCTTCGCCCTCCTCACTGCAAATTGAGGAGTGGGTGCTATTTTCAGCCCCATTTTGCAGATCAGTAAACTGAGGCTCAGGCAGATTGCAGTCTCTCACACACACAGGTCCAAGGGCCCAGATGGCACTGCACGCGCCCCGTTGCCCCTTACCCCCCGCCCACCTTCGCACCCACAACCTACAGCGGCGCCTAGGGAGCATGCATGCACACACCTGGCCAGCAGAGGCAGCGGAAGCTTCCGAGGCCCTCGAGGCAAGACGCGTTGTTGGCACAGGGGCCGGATGTGCACTCTAGCACCTCCTCCTCGCAGCGCGCGCCCTCGTAGCCCGTGCCTGAGCAGTCACACCGGAACCTGGGGCGAACCGGCCTAAGTGAACGACAGCTCTGCAGCCCCCCCCCCCCCGCCCAAGGCACCCGATGCCAATCGCTCACCCGCTGACCAGGTCGTGGCACACGCCCCCATGTGTGCACGGCTGGCTCTGGCACTCATCGATGTCTAGCTGGCAGCTGGCGCCCGCGTAGCCCGGTGCGCACACGCAGCGGTAGGAGCCCACGCCATCCAGGCACGAGCCCCCATGCAGGCAGGGCGCAGAGGCGCACTCGTCCACCTCAGCCTCGCAAGTCACTCCTGGACAGGGGCCGGAGACACAGAGACCCGGAGCTGCTTACCCGAGGGGCAAAAGAGGCCAAGCCGGGGACCTGGGGCAGCTCCAGTTACAAGGAGCCACCTATGAGGCTCTAAAGGGAAGCGCATTTCGCTTGTCTTCCACAGCCCGAGCTGCTGTGGGAAACCCAGGCAGTGGGTACAATCAGGGAACCTCCCCGCCCTCTGGAGCTCCCAGCAGGCTGGGCCCGGAGACCGGAACTCAGTCAATACGTTAGGACTGGCTTTCAATAAGGGTTAACTCAATAAGGGAACCTGATCCTATGAAAGCAAGATCCCGGGTCTGGTCCGGGATGTGGGGAGACAGGGAAGGCTTTGGGGAGTTGGAGGATTGAGGCAGAGGACTGTGGTGAGCAGTTGGACACCAGAAAGAGACTGCAGTGAGTCACCCTGTGCTTGGGTCAGGGGCCTGATACCCAGGGAGGGTGTGCCCCAGGAGCCATGGGGAGCTATGGGTCAGGAGCTATGGGGAGAGTGGAGCAGGTGAGGCAGGAGTGGGGGTGTTGGGACCTGGGCCAGGTAACAGGCTCTGGGCTCATCCTAGAAGCTGTAAGCAGATACATGACAGTCCTATCTACATTTTAGAAGGCTCTGGTGGCTTTGAGAAAAGTGTTAGGAAGGGACCCCACAGAGGAGGGATACTTGGAAAAAAAAAATACCCAGGCTGGAAAGGCTGAAGTAAGTAATTTCTGCACTGTTTTTGCTGTAAAACTGACTCCCTATTCCCGGGAAACCCGCTCACCTGCACAAACCGGGACAGCTGGGTGCCCTCCACCAGGTGAGGGCGGAGATGGAGAAACATGGAGAACCTTATGGTTTGGATAGTCACCCTAGGGTTCAGGGGTCACTGCAGACTCCAGTGGGAGCTGTCCCCTAAGTGAGCTTGCTCATGGGGGCCAGGGACCCAGCTGATTCCTGCTGGAACCCTCCCCTTTCCCAGCTCAGTGAGCACAAAATACACCTTCTCCTTCCCATGACCCTCCAGCCCTACTCCCACCCCCGTGCCAGGGGGAGCCAGGCCCAGGCTGCCTGGAATCCCAACCTCCCCCACCCGGCTCAGAACCGGAAGAAGAAAAATGAGTCACTACAAACACTGCCCCCTCACATTCACCACTCACCCAGAAAGTTACCCAGAGCACCGCACATCTGGGTCACAGGCACCTGCTGGCACCCACACACGTGCACTTTCACATGAAAGTATTCAGAGAGCCCAGATACCCGCAGATAATGGAAGATGCAAGAATTCTTTTATGAACGCAAACAGAACTTCAAAGAGGAGACACACAGACAAATGTGACTCACACTCACATCTACCCAGCGAATACGTGCAGACGCTGAGACATCCAAACGGTGAGAAAGATTCAGGGAGCCAGTGTCCCAGAGCCATCTTCACCAGCGGGCCACTCTTCACTATATGCTCCTTCCCCTGGAACTCAGACCCCCCAGTCTGTCTCCCTTGCTCTGAGGTGACTTCAAAACTACCCCTTGCCCTTAATGCCTGAACTCAGGGTTGACCTAGTTCACGTGTCTACACAGTGGACTACAGAAGGCCCAGGACTGGGCCTCGCTGGAAGACCTCCTTCCCAACTTCAGGCCACTCCAAGAAGCAAGATGCTCTCACCTGGGAGCTGGGAAGGGCCTGGGCCCCCCCACCAACACCACCATTCTGGAGGAAGGAACTATGTGTTCTCAATGTCAGCCAGTTTTCTGAGCACTTGTATGTACATTATCCCACTCAAGGCAGCAGGGACCCCTGGGGCCACATCTGCATCACAACTGGAACAAGACCAGGAGTGGGTCTCTATGCTAGGTCTTTGCAAGGGGTCCACATTCCATCCTAAACTGTGCAGGATATTCTCACTCTAGGACCCTCAAGTGTCTACAGGACAATTTGATACAGGTCTGGAGTGAGAAAATGCTGGCACCACTGGCCAGGGTGTCCTGTTAAAGCCAAACCAGGCAGATCTGCCTGTCTGCTCAGAGTTGCCAGAGATGCCTGAGGGGTTTCCACCCCCTAAGCCAAACTCAGCTCTGGAGAAGGGACAAAAATGTTTGTCCAATGCCCCATACAGGCCAGGCGCTGTGCCAGACCTCAAACACACAGACTCTCACCCCCAGCTGCCAGGTTGGCCTGAGAAGTGTCAATTCTGTGCTAAGTCCAGGAGTGGACACCCAGCACTGCCGGTGCCTGGGGCAGCTGTAGACCCAAGTCAGAATTGAGTCTGTGATGCTTTCCCTGCAAGCCACAGACGGGAGGAGGGATGGGGGCAGACCTCCCCGCAGGGCAGCATACACCATTACCTGCATAGCCAAGGGGGCACTGGCACTCGTAGCGATCTGCCAGGTTGTGGCAGGTGGCCCCATGGTGGCAGGGCCGGGATGCACACTCATCGATGTCCAGCTCACAGTGCGGGCCCTGGAAACCAGGCACGCAGTAGCAGCGGAAGCCATTAGGATCTGGACCCTGGGGCACACACAGAGCACCATGGTGGCATGGCTGAGTGGCGCAGCCTTGAGGCTTCACGGGCCCACAGGTATAGCCACCACTCTCTGTGGCCTGGCACTGGGTCCCTGGAGCACACGGGTCTGAGGCACAGTCACCCCGGGTCTCTGAAGGCACCGTCCCTGCGGAGAGAGGAGATTGGATGGGCGGGGGCTGTGCAGACGCTCCCCTCCCGGTACTCAGCCCAACCCAGACCCAGGAAGCAACACGGGCGTCCACACTCCGGAGCAGGCACGGAGGCCAGCACACCCAGAGCGAGCAGGGTCCCAAGCTGCAGTCGCTCTACTCGGGAACTGGGAATGGCTTTAGGAGTGCCTGCAGAGCAGAGAAACAGGACCAGGGTGTCTGGCTCCGGCAGGATTAAGCAGCAGACACTAACCCTGTGAGCGCCCGTCCCTGCAACGCCCCTGGGCAGGGACTTGGTGCCCATTTTATAAGTGAGGCTCCAGAAAGGAAGCAAAGGCTGGCCGAGGTCACGCAGCGAGTTAGCTTCAATGTGGGGTGCTTGATCCACAATGTGGGGGTCCCCTCTGGGCTTCCTCTCTGCAGGCTGCTCCCTACAGGAGCCCAGGAGGGGGAGGGAAGCAGCCCAGGAGAGGCAGCGCCCCGCCCCCTCCGGCCTGCTGGGGGCTGGTAACTCCGGCGGCGGCGGCGGCGGAAACCTGAGCTCTGAGACCTCAAGCTCGGAAGGGAGCAGCGTGGCCACTTCAAAGCAGGGGAGTGGGCTCCGCCCGCACACCCCTCCCGCTGTCCGCCTGGGGAGCTCTGGAGGAGCCCTGGCCCTCTTTTCATCCCCCACCGGCAAGCCCACCTGCGCCTGCGCAGTGAACACCTGAGCCAGCCACCGCGGGGTTTCTGCACTTGGAGCCCCTCTGTTGAGGGTGGCATCCAGTTTGGAAACCAAGCCCAGGAGAATCCAGCCCCCTCCATTCCCTCCTTCCTCCCCACTCGAAAGCCTGTCGCTAACAGGTTCAAATCCCAACTGAGAAAACTACTAGCTGTGGGACTTTGGACAAGTCATTTCTCCTACTGAGCCTCCGTTTCCCAGTGTGAAAAGAAACAGAATAGTACGTCCCTGGGGACGTGGGAAGTCGGAGGATTCAGAACCTCAGGTCCAGAGCCTGCTCCACCGCAGGGACTCAGCAAGTGGGGGGAAGGGCTTCTAGCAGGAGGCACCCTCCCCCGCCCAGGTTGTCATCCAGACACTGGCCAGGCCCCACGGCCCATCAGGCCCTGCACCCTCCCCTCCCCCACTCCAGCCAAGACCCCCAGATAAGGCTGGCAGCCTCTGGGGCGTCATCCACATTCCAGCAGGCAGGGTTGTTCACTGCCAGACCCCCACGCTCTGCAGCAGACCCAAGCAGGATGGGGACAGTGCAATGGAGAAACACACAGAGGCATTGGGAAACAACTGGCTGTCCAGTCCCACCCTCCAGAGCCCAGAGCACCTGGTGCAACTCAACACCGGGGAGCCCTAGCAGCCCCCAGGGCCAGACACGTGGCAGGGCAGATCTAAAACACTTTCAGGGGAAAAGGGGCCTTCTACCCACACTTTCCCCTTCCAGCTCAGGGCAGGGGCATCATTCCCAGCCCCTTCTCCCAGGCCTGGTCACATGTGTAAGGGCAGGGGCTCCTGGGCATCTCTGAGAGACTTGTGAGTAGTTGGTCATTTTCCTGTTCCTTTTCCTTTTCCTGCTTCTGTGACCAAGCAGTTGATAGGTTCCCCAAGGCTGGATGCCTGGGGAGGGGTGATCACCTGGGGCTGGGAAGATGGTCCTGTGGGGGTGGGAGTGGACCCTGCTCCCTCAGGAAAATGCACAGGTTTTGCACATCAGACAGGCCCAGGTGGTATCCAGAGTGCCCCCAAGTGGCACCCCAAGGTGACGTGTGAAGCCCAGGCACCTGGGGAACCCTCTGCAAGGGGCTATGGTCTTGATGTTCAGAGCTTGCCAGCCTGGTACAGTTCTGGAGCAGGACAGAGATCATGATTCCATTGTGAAGGACCTGGCTGCTGGATCCTGTGCCACCAGGCCCCCATTTTAATTCAAACAGGACAACACCTTCATTTTGTGGCCCAGGGACTCCCCACCCTGGTCTGCAGGAGCTTGCCTCCAGGGCCAAGCGCTGCCTGTTAGGACAGTGGGGACCTGGCTGGGAGACCACACAGACCGGGTGGGTGTTTCTGACAGTCTGCCCTCCCCTAGGGTCCTCCCAGGGTCAGGGACTGAGGGCTGTTACTATAAATGAGGAAGCCCTGGAGGCAGAGTCCAGCCCCAAGGGAGGAAGGAGCTTTAGTCAGAACCAGGCAGGGAGGGAGGAGGCTGCTCATCGAGACCGCCACCTCGCCTGGGCCATCTCCGTCCATCTGCGCGGCTGCGTAGGAGGTAGACAGTGCCCTTCTTCCTTTTTGCAGTTGAGGAAAGGGCGGCTCAGAGATGACGCCACTTTCCAGTCCCATAGCCACCAGGGGCTGGAATCCAAACCCGATTCTCCCTGCTCCAGGGCCTCCACTCCAGGCGGTTCAGAACCACCCAGGACCTGTATCAAGAATGCAGATTCTTGGGGCTCACTCTAGACCTAGAAATTCAGAACCAACAGGCCCACAGCCCAGAATCTGCATTGGATTCCAATCCCTGGAGATCCCTTTGCACACTGAGGAATGCCAACCCCTGTGCTCAGGGGTCTCCAGCTTCCTGGAGTTAGCCCAGGAGGCCAGGCTAGCCCAGGGCAAAGAGGAAGACCAGGCTAGGCCAGGGCAGAGAGGTTGGGAGGGCAGCTTGGCAGGGGAGAGGCTGTCCCCAGGGTCAGACTGGAGGGGCGGGGCCTGTTGCCCCAGCAACTAGGGGCCTGTGCTTATCTTTACAAATCCCTGCTGACCTCTGGGCTGCCTGGGCTGACCTGGCAGGGGAGGGATTAACGGCCACTGCCCCGCCCCTTGAACCTGCCACCTCCCTTGGGAAGGGCAAGGCAGACAATTCATTTACAGAGTGTTTACTATGCGCTCCAGGCTGTGTATCTATTATTATTACAATGTTACACCAGAGGAGGGGGGGTACCTGTTAAGGAATCTGCTTTCCTTAACTCAAAACAGGTTGATTAAAAAAAAAAAAAAAGGTTGATAAACTTGCCAAGGATCATTGTTCCTCCAAAAACTAAGATGTCTTCAGATTTCAGAGAGTCCACATCTGCCAATACATATGAAATTGCCACAAACGTATTGTCCTCTTAGTACATTCCCACAGTCTCACCCTAGTGTGGAGGTCTCTAAGGTTTTTTTGGGGTTTTTTTTAATATTTTTTTAAGGTGGATACAATATGTTTATTTATTTTTATGTGATGCTAAGGATTGAACCCAGTGCCTCGCGCATGCCAGGCCAGCGCGCTACCACTTGAGCCATATCCCCAGACCTAAAAGTTTTTCTTAAGAACAGTGGCCCTTGGGCTGGGGATACAGCTCAGTTGGTAGAGTGCTTGCCTCCTATGCACAAGGCCCTGGGCTCAATCCCCAGCACCACACACAAAAAAAGAATAGTGGTCTCAGGAACAGGACTTGCTTAACATGCAAGAGGCCCTGTGCTTGATTCCCAATACAAAAGAGAGAGAGAAGGACAAAAGGAAAGAAGAGCCTCTTGAGAAGAGCCTCTTGTTCACCCAGAACCTTGGTAGCAGGCCTCACCCAGCCCAGTAACTCCCATTTATTTACCCTCACCTGTTACAGATTAAGTTATAACCTCCAACATGAGATGTGCCTTACTAAGGATGGATTTGGGGGAGCTTCCTTCCCTGAGAAGGCAAGAATATTTCTAAGTAGTGACCCAATAGCAGGGATGGGAGTTCTAGCACAGACTGGATAAAACTGTTCCCCTACTATTGCTGGGCCTGGCTATGGCCGGACTCATCCTTATCAGAAAGGGCAAAAATACTCTAAAAAGACAGCAAAGTGTGGAATACTCTTTATCAAAAATGTTCACCTCCCAGGGTAAAAGCCATCGTTCAATGACTAATTGCAACATGGCTGTGGACGATGGAGCATTGCTCTGGGCCTGGCCTTGCACGTCCCCATGTTTCCAAACTGTGTCTCAAAGCACAGAGCGGAAGGCACCTCCTGGAGCAAGGGGAGGACATGCCACCTGTACAGTCCACTTTGAACTACTGACCATAAACTATTATGCGTTTCTGTCTGAAACTGGGGTTCCCTGCCAAAACCAAGTTGGAAAACCACTGCATTGTCCCACTGAAGTTTTGTGATGGCCCTAGGAGTGTGGTTATCCCCATCTTACAAGGGCAGAGAGAGGGGATGTGACTGTAAGGAGGCTTTATGTGAGCCCGCTGTGAAATCTTGGCCCTGCCACACACTAGCTGTGTGATTCTGGGCGAGTTACTGATCGTCTCTGGGCCTATTTACCTCCTCTGTGAATGGGGTCTCAGAGCTGATCTCACAGTCTGTTGGGGAGATTGGATTTGATTGTGTTGCCACGAGGCACCTGATGACTGATTGACAAACCCTAGATTGTGGCAGACCCAACTCTCTGCAGGTCCTGAGGCTGGGTTGACTGTGTGTGGCTTCCCCTCCCACAATCCCTGCCTCTGTCCCTCAGGCCCCCACCTCCTCTTGTTGGAGGAGGGGCTGAAGGGTAGGGGCCAAACCCTTTGTGATGGGTCCCAGAGTGCTGGGGGGAGGGGGAGATGTGAGAGCCCTACGCCCCATTGTACTCCAAGATGCTTGGTCCTCTCCATAGCAACCAGCGGGCCTCTGTGGCAGAGTGGCCCAGGATGAAGGGGCCCAGCTTAGGGCCTGGCAGGGATGGGCAGCAGAGCCCGGGGCCAGGGCCTTCAGAAACCCCCACCTCGTCTGGGATAGAAATCAGCTTCCAAGTGACACAGTTCCAAGTGCCCCCCTCAGGTGGTCAGGTCTTGGGTACTGGCATCCAGAGATGGCCGTGCAGTGCCCCCACCCCAGGCTTCAGGGATCCCCAGGGCTGGGGCAGCTGACAGATGTTGCAAGGGGAGGCTGCCCCAGAAGCCCCCGTAGGGCTGTGGGGTGAGTGTGTACCTCAGGGACCTTGCCTTCTATGTCCTATCCGGTCCACCTGCCCACCTCAGGTATGTGGGTGCACATTTGAGTGTAAACGCACACAACATCAACATGCATGCATTGGTGTGTGTGTGCATGGCAGTGTGCTGTGCACGACCTGCTCATGTGGCATGTGTGCCCTGTGCACACCCCAAAAGTGTGCACACATGCCTAGGTACCTAGGCATCTCCTCTAGGAGCCCCAGGGAGCCCAGCTCACAAGTTTCTGTCCCTCCCTGATCCTTCCTTCCCCCAAAAATGGGGTCCTCATTCTCCCTGGCAGCCCCCAGGAGGGCATCAGGAACAGGGGTTCCCCTGAGTGCAGAGGAGCCCAGACAGGCCCTCCTTGGCTCCCTCTCCCAGCCAGTGGTGACAGGGCGAGGGACTTCCCAGGCCTGTCCCCATAGACAAAGCCTCCCCTAGACCCCCCAGTAGGAATTCCAGGCTCTGTGCGGGAATCCACTTGAACAAAAGCAGAAACCCCTTGGCGAACAGGGGTCCGTCTTCAGAGAGCCCTTCCAACTTGGTCTGGGAATGCCAGAGAGGGCACAACAGGGGACAAAAATGTTCCCAAATCTCCAGCCACCAGCCAAGGACCCAGAGCAGCCCGACCTCCCCCTTAAAGTGCAGGCAGGAATCCACACAAACAGAGGGAGCGCAGGGCAGGCAGGGAGGACGCTCCCTGGGGTCTCCTTCCCTCTTTCCAGCCAATTCACCAGGCTGGGGTCTGCTGCTTCCCACCAGGACCCACATGTCCCTTGCAAAGACCCACTGGACAACTTATACCCCAGTGCAGCTCGGCCCTCAGTTCCCCACATCCACTCACCTGGACACAGCTCATGGGACACCTGTAGCAACTCACAACTTTCACCCCCAACTGCACCCGGCCCAGCACGTGACTCAGAGCAGGCTCTGGGGTAGGCCGTCTCCCAGCAAGTCCCCAGCCCGGCTCCACAGACCCACCTCAGCACCCTTCCTAGCGGCCGCAAGGCTCCAGGATTCAGTTTCCCCAGACGCACTCACACCCAACCCAACCCAGGTCCCCAGCCCACTCCTGAAAGCCCCCTCCACACGAAACAGCCCCAGGTCCCTGCAACTCCGGCCTGGCACCACGCGGAGCAGCGGCCCCCCGCCCGGCCGCAGGCCTGGGGTCCGTCTGGGGAAACAGACCCCCGCCCCCCGGGCCCGGCCCCACTCACCAGCCAGGAGGGCGAGCGCAGGGTCCCAGGGCGGCAGCAGCAGCAGCAGCAGCAGCGGGGCCAGGGGCCTGCAGTCCCGGGTCCCAGGCCCGGCCAGCGCCATGGCAGCGCCGCTCTGCCCGCCGCTGTGGGAGCCGGCGGCCGGCAGCTCGGCACCCCCCTGGTCCCTGGAGCAGCACTAATGCGGTGGACAGAGGCCCGGCCCCGCCCCGCCCCGCCCGGCCCGGGGGAGGGTCTGGCCGCTCCTTCCACGCCAGCCCCAGCCGCCGGGGGCAGAGCGTCCCCGGCCCAAGCCCTGACCTTGTCTCCAGGCACCACTCTCCCGCGGGGCCCTCTTCTCTCCAGGTGGTGCCAGCCACTCCCAAGCCCTCCTACTTGGCTTGACCCCCCACCGGGCCAAGGCGCCTCTCCTACTTTCAGTCACCGGCCAGCTCCAGGCCGGCCATCCCCTCAATGTCTCTAGATCCCCTTTCCACTCCCTCTGTCCCAGCCTGCCACCCAGCCCCTCTCCCTGTGGCCCTGTGGGATCAAATCTAGGCCCAGAGCCCTGCACCATGTGGCCCCCTTTTACTAGCCAAATGGAAACTTTTCCACCTCTTGCCTCTCTGTTTGCCACTCCAGAAACCTCACTGCAACCCAAGGCAGCTCATTCTACTGACAGCTTTAAGCAAACTTTCCTTTGCCCCTGCTAGGCAAGCGCTCTACCACTAAGTCACAACCCTGGCCCCTGGGAAGCCCTTCCTGTCGTCTAACCTCACAGTCTCTTGCTGCAGCAGATGTTTGCTTGTTCCAGGCTGGCCTCTAGACTGGAGAGGGGAATGTTGTTTGCATGCAGAGAAGTTCTTATGGGGACCTGGGTCCAAGAATCCAGGTCACCTCAAAGACACAACAACACAAAGCATCCCCTTTTACCACTGCCCTGAGCTCCAGCCTAGGGAAAATCCCCTTGCTTAAGGGACTTTCCTGAAATGAGCCTCTGGTGTCTGCCAAGGCATCCCGGGTTGGCCCAGTTCAGTAACCATGGACTCGGCCCACGCCGGCCCTGGACTCTGAGTTAGAGGCAGCGCTATGGAGGGTTCCAGGATGTCTAGAGGGATGGGTGAGGGTGTGCAGGGGAGGGAGCCGCCTTCACGCTGTTTCCAACTCAGAAGGGCCAATACCCCTGGTCCCGGGGGGCCTGGAGAGGGGACTAAAGCCTAGGTGGCCCTAGTCCACCAATTCCGTCCCGCCCTTATTCTCTTCTGCTCCCCAGGGTGGGTGCTCCGTGGTTTCCGCGCACCCCCTTCACCTTTAACCACCCCCCCCCCTAGCTCTCTCCTGCACCAGGATCCCCTCCCGCCCGCGTGACGCCCCCTCCCCTCCAGGGCACAGACCCCACCAGGGATCCGGGTTTGAGCCCAGGGGCGTCAGCTCAGCACGTGGCTTCCTTGTCGGCCTAAAACGCGGGAACAGCAGCGCCCCCCGGCGAGAGTTTAAAGGGCCGACAGGGCAGCGACTCGGGGTTCCCAGAGACCCAGACGGGCCCAAGGGGACCAAATAGGAGGACCACAGCCCCGGGGTCTCTGGACACCAACACCCTGGCGTTGACCCGGAGCCCGGCGATCAGCGGGGCGCTGGGTCCCGGCGCCTGTCCCCGTCCGCCCCCAGCGCCGGAGCTGCGGCCGCCATGCGCCACCCTGTGGCCAAATCAGGGAGCGTCCTGCGCGGGCTGCGGGACACCTAGGGTCCGACCGCATCGAGAAAAGGCGGCGCCGAGGTCCCGCGGGCAGATCGCCTCGCCCCTCCGGAGTCCGAACGCGGAGAAGGCAGAGTGGGCGGGGCCTTCGGGGACCGGCCCTCGGGAGGTCCACTCCCCACCTGCGCCCCACCTGCGCCCCACGTGCTCGGAACCTCTCGGCATCAGTGGGGCGGGATTGGAACTCGGGTCGCCTCCTAGAGACTCTCGCCACCTCCCGGGTCGGGGGGCACCACTGCGGGGCAGGTTCTTGTGCGTCTGATTTTCCCTTCTGAACCTTAGTCCCCCTGCCCGTGAGAGGAATGACAGCAGTGTCCACCTTCGAGTGTTTGGAGAAGTGGCCGCGGCTGCCAGGGCCCACTGGCGGAGGGAACGTGGCCAGCCTCAGCTGCTCCCCGCCGCGGAGTCACCGGAGACCCTAGCAGCATGAAGCTCCTACCCGGCCCGCGCCTCCCTCCTCATAGCCCGGCCGGTTTCCACCCATCCCCTGCCACCGCGCCCTGCAGACCCCGGAGGCTGAATCACAGCTGGCTGCCTGCTTCTGGCTTCCAGGAGGTGGGCCAAAAGCAAGCAGGAGGGAGGAGGAATGGGGAGAAAGAAGTGGGGGTGGGGAGGAGGGAGGGTTCTGGGAACCTCCATTCTCTCCCTGAATTGGGGCCTGGGGTGAGATTCTGGCTCCAGCTCCAGCGGTGGCCCCTGGGTGGCTTCAGCTCTCACAGGCTCTGTCACACGGCTCCCTTGCCAGGTGGCTATCCCAGTCCTCTCCACAGCCGTCTCCCACCCCCTGGGAACTCTCCTGGTTCCCCTCCTGCCTTCTGGTCGTTCACTCTTGTCCTCCCAGAATGCAGGGTGTGCCAAGGTCTGCCCCAGACCCCACCACGGGGTCCCCTGGGTGGACCAGGGCAGACCTCAGGGGCCAGCCCTCCACTGCCTCACAGTCTCACCGCTTGATAACAAATCTCTTGTATCACCCCTTATGACCTGGAAATGCAAAAGGACATTCATATGCACATAAATTCCAAAAGAAAATCATTGTGATGCCGGACCTGAAATACCAGAGGGAGCCAATAAGGCCACAGGTGAGATCAATGGACTCCAGTTAGGACAGCTCTTCCAGTTCAAATCCTCCACCTCCCAGCTGTGTGACCTTGGGCAAGTTGCTTGACCTCTGTGAACCCCAGGTAGCTGGCTAAAAATGCCACTTTACTGTATAGATTATTTTGAGACTTAAATGAATAACTCTTCATAAATCATTTAGAACAGGGTCTGGCTGGTGTTAAACATTAAATGAGTGTTGGTTAAATTAACCCATAGGAAAATAATTTAACACGTGAATTTCAAATTAGAGATTCAAAGTTGGATATGGTGGTGCCTGCCTGTAATCCCAGATACTAGGGAGGCTGAGGCAGGAGGATCGCAAGTTCAAGACCAGCCTGGACAATTTAGCAAGACACTGTCTTAAAACAAAAATGATGAGCTGGGGTGTCGCTTGGTGGTTGAAAGCCCTGGGCTCAATCCCCAGTATTGAAAAAAAAAATCTGAATCTGCTTGTGGAGGACATGACAGAATAGCGAGAAGTTTGTGCCCATAGAACCCAGATGAGTGTGAGAGCCCCGCAGACTCAGGCCATCCAGACCCGTTGGCGGCTCTAGCTCAACAAACGCATTGGCAGCAGGTAAGTAATTTTCTGAAATGGTGACAACTTGGTGAGGCTCTGAACATGATAAGGAGCAACCTTCCCTATATTTCTGGGAAATTCAGTGCATGTTAACAATTGTGTAAACTGCTATCTGTTCCACGCCTGCCAGACCCCGTGGCTCTAGGCAGTGACCCTGGCAAATACGTGTTTCCCTCTGTATCACTGTAGGACAGGACACCCAAGTCAAGTGGCAGGTAGGACAGCTCTTCAAGGTGTGCACCGTCCTACAAATCCCAGGGCATCCAGTGTCTGGGGCCCCACCCACTAACTTCCAGGGGTGCCCCCACTTGAAATCACCCTCGAATTCCTCAAACAGACCTCCTGCTGCCCGAGGGATTTTGCCAAGGGTCCCAATTCCTGAGTCCATTACCCAGAGTCCTCCACAAGCCAGCTCCCTTTGCCTCCCCACAAACGCAGAACCATCCCAGCGGCACCCCCGGGACCCCCACGTCCACTCTACAGGCTCCCCCTCCCCAATGAACACACGCCCTCTCCAGGTGACTCTGGAGACCCCTCGGAAGCCCCACCCACCACCTGGTGGAATACCTGCCGACCCCTGGCTGATCCTTAAGACTCAGTTCTGGTCCCCACCCCACCCCTTCTGGCCTTCCCTCAAAGACCCCAGCACTGACCCCAGCCCTAGTCACCAGCATGGTCATCTGTACCCATCCTGAGTCAGAATCGCGGAGCCCTTGTCCTGGGGAAGCTCGCGCCTAGCGGAAGCTTCGGACCCAGTCGGGAAGGTGCTGGCGCAGAGCCTGCTGGGACCCGAGGACAGAGAGACCCGCCGCCAGAGGGCAGCATCCAGGGGAGCGAGGACCCCGGAGTGGAGAGGAGGCGGCAGGCACCCCTGGCTGACACCCAGGGGCGGGCAAAGGTCCGAGGTGAGACCCTGGGCTCGGGAAGCTCAGAGTTGCCCGCAGCAGAGTGATTAAGCCGAGGCTGGTGGCCGCAGGGGACAGTTGGTGCAGAGCTTGTAAGGTACCGGGGAGGCTGTACTTTGTCCTGGGGGGATTGCGGAGCCCTGGCAGAGATTAAAGAAAGGGAGGGACGTGGCCAGGTCTGCACGTGGCAGAGTTCCCCTGGAGAAGACGTGGAAGATGTGCAGCCCGAGAGCAAGAAGAGAATGGTCCCAGGAAAAGTCTGGATTCGGGTTGGGGTGGGAGCAGGGCGGGAGTTGAGCCGCAGAAACAAGAGAGCTTGGTTTCCGCCGAGGCTGAGAAAGACGGAGAAGGTCCGAGCGCAGCCCGGATCTCAGCCTAGTGGACCGTCAGGGATGAGGGAGGACGGCTGGATGAGGCGGCTGGCTGGATGGCTTGGGGAGGGCCCCCAGGACCTACCCCATCCGCCCCTGGCAGAAGGACCGGCTGCAGGCCCCTCTGGGGACACTAGAGGGAGCTCCAGGACAGATTCAAGCTCCACTCTGCCTCAGTCACCCCCGCCACCCCTCCCTGAGGAGAACAGGACCCACCCCATGCTCAGATACAGGCTCGGGGTCCTGCTGGGGCCTGGTTGACCTCTAGTGGCTTCAAGGTCTCAGGGCCACCTTACCCTCCAGCCACCGGATATGCATTGGGGAGGGGTCTTGGGGTGTGGACCGTGGGGCAGAGGTAGAGGACTGCAGGTGAGAAGTGCTATAGCTTTTCCCAGGGAGGAGAGTGTGACTCCCAAGGTCACATCACTGTCTGGCAGAGCTGATCCCAGCCAGATCTGCTGCCCCAGCTGGGGAGGAAGGGACAGAATGGGCTCTCAAACTGCAGGAAGGTCTAGGGCCTTCCTGACCCTTCCCGGAAAACCTAGGTGAGAGGAGTCTCCCATGAGCCACCTCCACACACCCTGAGGAATGTTCTAGGAATGTTCTAGGTCCTGGTGTGGTGGCGGTTTGGGGAATGGGGCCGTGTGTATACAGCTGCTGGGTCTGCATGGTGCTCTGTATGTCCTGGAAGTGCTCCAGTTCAGTGGGAGGCTGAGGCCCCTGCCTGTGGAGCTCAGCCTCTCCTCCGTTTGGGGTCAAAGCTGGCCAAATGGGATTGGGACTTCAGCTGGGGCTGCAGCCAGGGCTGTCTGAGTGCAGGATCATGAATCAGTCTCTCCCTAGGATCAGGGTTCAGGCTGGTGTCCTGCCTAAACTGAGCCTGGCTCCTGGTGAAGGTGCTGCTGAGGTCTCCCTATGGGAATCGGGTCTTCACTGCTGCAGGAGCGAAGGCACCCACACATCACTCACCCAGCAGGAGGGCCAACACCCGGTGCCTGGAGCTCAGGAGGGGCTGGGGCTCCAAGGGAGAACCTGCTTCCCACAGCCGGCTCAGTCCAGAAGGGAAGCAGACATTGAGCAGTGAATTGCAGTGGATCCAGAGCCAGCCATGGATGGGGGGGGGGGTGCATTCCAGGCAGAGTTTGCGTCCCAGGCCAGGGAGGAGGGAGGCGGAGGCTGGCACAGCATCCAGGAATGGGACATGTGCCTGAGCACAGAGCTATAAGGTGGCTCCCAGGCAGCTGGAGAGAAGGGGGACCTCTGGAGGTCCCCATGCGTCGGGAAGTGGGGTGAGCCTCGGGAGACCTCCTGCAGGCCGGTGGCAGAGTGGAGCAGTTTGACAGTCTCGAGGGACCACTCCAGCGGTGGAGGGAGGAGTGGCGGGAGACCAATTTTTTGGAAAAGTGATTGAAGTCTCTGCCTGAGTCTAAATGGCACACTCTTTTAAAATTTTATGAAAACAAAAAATGAGTAACAAATGGAGACACGGAAATAGGAACCCCTTTCCTATTAATCCAGATGGGAAGAGCAGGCCCAGGCCCAGCTAGGCCAAGAGGACTTGACTAACCTGGAGGGAAACGCTCCAGAAGGCCCACAGCGCTCGCTGAAAGCCGACTCCCCAGCTGACCTGAGCACCAAGAATCTGAGGCCCCCTTGGATGCCAGTTCCCATTGCCCAGGAGGAAAACTGAGGCTCAGGGAGTGACAGGAAAGGACCCTGTCTGCACAGTCCCTGCAGGTCCACCGCCACACACTCACCAGACACGCACACAGACGCATGCACGAGCTCGTGAGTACACGCAGCAGCCCCCGCAGCCCCAGTGCACGTGGTTTGAGCAGAGCAGCCCCAGTGCGTGCCTGCACTGGGCACTGTGGCACCGGTCAGCAAGAGGGTCCTGCAGCGGGAGCCCAGCCTCGCCTCTGTGGGGGAACCCCAGACCGCCCAGTGCTGCCCCCTGTGCCAGGCCACAGCCACTGGAGCCCAGGAGGAGCCAGGGTTGGTTGGTTCCTAGTGTGTGACAAGGCAGATCAGAGGGGCCAGCTGCCACTGTCCTCGCTCCCCAGGGGTGTGTGTGTGTGTGTCTGTGTTTTGCTGAGGAGCAGGGCAGTAGTGTAGGGCCCACATCAAGTCAGAAGGCGAGGGTTCCTCGGCTCAGTGGTTCAGGGTGCCTGCCTGCCTCCCGTCCTCTGCTGTCTAATAAGGACCTTTTGTGAATCAGACAAAACAAGACACAGCCTCTGCCCTCTGGAAGTGCAGTCCCGGGTTGAGCTGTCACCGTACACATGTGACTGTGGCTGGGAGGCCTCAGAGAGGCAGCTTCCATTCTGGCTGTGGGATGGTGACTGATTCATGGCCTTCTCTGAGCCTCAGTTTCCTCATCTGGAAAGAGGGGCCATCCTTTTCCCAACCACTGGTTGGATTTGCTTTTAGGATTACATACGATGCTGGATGTGCAATATTTTGGGAAGAAAAAGGAACATGTGAGTTAGATCAGAGTCAGGTGTCAATGTCGCTGATGCTCGGAGGTCCGTGGTAGAGGAGTGTGGATGAGTTCACAGGCCTAGTCAGAGAGGCCTGGCTGGGTTTAAATTCCTGCTGTGCCAGGACTAGCTGTTGGAGATGGAGCAGTCTATTGAAGCTCTCTGGGCCTCTGTCTTTGAGTCTGTAACAGGGACATAATAATAATGCACATTACATGGGATGTGCTGCAGGATAGTGTATGTAAAACTTTTAACTGGGCCTGCCACAAAGTACATGCTCAGTTTAGTCAGTTCCTACTGTTATTTCTAAGTTTTCAGTTATTCATTCAATGAATGCTTACTGAGCATTTACTATGAGCCAGGCACAATTCTAGGCACTCTCCAAATTCTCTCAATCCTTCTAACGACTCTATTATTATCCCCATTTTACAACCATGCAAACTGAGGCACAGTGAGGTCCAGTCACTTATTCAAGGTCACACAGCTGGTAGGAATTGGAACCTAGGTCTGTTGGTCTCTTTAAATCCAGCTTTGAGTCATGTACTTCCCCTTTATAGTTCAAAGTCCTCCCCTCTCCCCAGCAGCAGCCCCTGTTAAATAAATCATCCAGTAACGGTTTCTAATTCCCAGACTTGGTTGCAAATGAATTATTCACATTGTAAGGCCTGCAAACCGCAAACTGGGCCTCATTACCCAAGAAGGCCGCCTGCCCACAAGATGCCGCTCCCTCCCCTGGGCTCCGGTCCTGGCGGGCCAGTCAGAAGTTGCCAGAGTTGGCGGGCGGGCGCCAGGGCCCAGTCCCTGAGCTCTGCTCTGGGAACTGGGAGGGGGGGTTTCCCTCCCCATTTCCCAGCCTTTGCTTTCTAACAAGCTCCCAGTCTTAGGTTAAGAGAAGACCTGGGTTCTAGTCCCAGCTCTGCCCTGAGCAGCTGCGTGACCTCAAGCAGGTGGCTTACCCTCTCTGAGCTTCCAAGGCAGACTAAGCTTGCCCTCACTGGGGCACAGGGCCCCACTTGACACATTCTCTTCTATCTGTGGGCTGAGGCTTGTGCCACCTGGCCAGGCCCTGTCCTGGATGCTGAGGACAAAGCTTCTGTCCAGCATGTGAATGAAACTGTGGCATGAGTCAGAGCCCAGGCCGATCCTAGAAGGTGCTGTCTCCAGAGATCCTCTTCAGGGCACAGCTGCTGCGACTGTTGACTGCTGGTTCCTCCCGGAGTTGTGCCCTACTGCCTGGGGCAACCCTTGGCCAGGGACTGACCAGTGTCGGGTGCTACAAACGCCTGCCTCCACCGGAACAATTGTGAAGGACCAGCCACTCGCAGGGTCCCCACAGGGGCCTCTGGTGCGAGCTCATTGTGGGTCAGTTTCTCCTGCATCTCCCCACTGCCTTCCCGGTGGATCTGCTGCGGGCACAGCCCAGGAAACCCTCAGCTCAGAGGCTGGAGACTCGTCACAGACAGGGCCAGTCCTGGCACTCAATGAGACCCGATCCAAATCACCAGCAGATTCCTAACTCCCAGGCTGGCTGAGCCTAGTTTCTGCCCCAGCCAAGCTCAGATCCCAGTCCCAGGTTGAGCCCTGACGTCAGTCACAGGCTGAATCCAGATGCTAACTGATCCCTAATCTTATTGCAGACTAAGCGCTGATCTCGATCCCAGGCTGATCTCCAGGCCTGTTCCAAGTTCTGATCCTGATCAGATTGAGCCCAGCGTTCACAGAAAGCAGGGCACCTATGGAGACCCATGGAGATGGGACAGAGGGTGGTAAGTGGGAGACAGGAGGAGCCTGGAGTCCAGGTTAGACTGAGAACAGAACCAGACTAACAGCCCGTCAGCCAGAAGACCAGAGGCCCAGAACTTCAGTTCACAGAGAGGTCTTCTCCAAAAACACCCAAACAGGGGTTTCCTCTTGGTGGAAGAACCAAAATCTGAACCAAGGATGGTAAGAAGGCTCCTCAGAGCTGCCATTCTGGAGCAGGGTGGGTGTCCCATGCATTAAGCCACGGTATTCCTCTGGGTCCCCACTGCCCCTCAGAATAACCCTGTGGATTGAATTATTACCCATTTTACAGAAAAGAGAGTTGAGGCTCGAGAAGCAAATGACCTGCCTCTTGCCTCCGTCGTGGGAGAATCAGCACTCGGGCCCTTGACCTCCCTGTACTTTGGTGGGGTCTAGGTGCAGGCAGTTACAGTCTCCTGAAGAGAGGCCTAGGGCTTGCAGTCCCTCTGCCACGCGACTTAGCTGTTGGCTAAGTCCTGAGCCTGCCCAAGGCAGGAGAGGAGCCAGGGAAGAGAAAGGTTGGTCCCTGAGACTGTTGATGTGGCTAGTTCCGGCCCCAGCCCCAGGCAGGGCCTCCCACTCATATAAAGTGGTTCCATCCCCTTCTCCCCCGGCAGGCGCTGGCTAGCATGGCAGGTGAGGAAACTGAGGTCCAGAAAGGGGATCCCACTTGTCGGGCTCACAGAGCTGAGACCTGCCCCCAGAACCCCCATGCTCGGCCTCCCGCCCTGTGTTCCTTCACCTGCACAGGAGAATGAAGGCCGTCCATCACCCCTCGTCCATCCATCGTCCACCTACCCGCCCCCCGGGTCAGCAGCCGGTCCGTAGCGTCCTCCGTGTGCCAAGTCTGGGCAAATTCCGCAGGCGGAGTGGAGACCCGAGGCAGAGCCCGTGGACTCTCAGGGGACCCACAGATTAAACAAACATGCCGCAGAAAGAAACGCATCGCCGAGTGCTGAGAGCCGCCCAGGATGTAACCAGGCCTCTCCCTCTCGGGGTGCTCCCGGCCCCAGGGAGCTCCAGGCAGAAACCCTGCAGAGAGCACCCAGGGCTTAGCCTCAGGGGACAGGGGCTTCGAGAAAAGCAGGAATACTCCCCCAGGGAGTCAGGCAGCTTGGTGAGGCTGCAGCCAGGCCACCTGACCACTGCGACCACTGACCACTGCGAGGAGAAGCCCTCCAGGGGGCCTTGTCTGCAGCAGGAGGTGAGAGAGAGGGGGAGAGACAGTGTGCTGTGGGGTCTTTGGCAAGCCTGCCCCTGGATTCACTTTGTGAGCCATCCAGCTGGTGCCGGAAGCCTCCAGGAACCGCATGGGAGCTTTAGGAGAAATAATGAGAGTGGTTATTTCAGGAGGAGGAACAGCGTGAGCAGACGGGTGGAGGTGGGGAACAGCAGGCAGACCCAGGAAGGCGGAGCGAGGAGACAAAACAGAGGAGAGCCCAAAGTCCAGCCCGTGGCGACATCATGGCACCCTGGGGAGGCTCTGCTCCCACCACACACCAGTGTGGATATCTGCTGCCCGTCACAAGCTGACTGTGTGCCCAGAGAGGCTCACATGTGTGCCCTCGATCCAGGAAGAGCATTACTGTTAGAGCCCATTTTATGGCAGGAAAATCGAGGTCAGGAGAAGTTAGAATCTGCCTCCCAGGAAGGTGTGAAGTGAAGGATACAGCCCCATGGCGTCGGCCACACGGCCCAGCCCCTTCACTCCCCTGTGTGCCCACAAGACAGCCAGAGGAGATCTGCACAGGTGTCGGCAAGTCCTGTGCAGCTCCACCTGCGGTCTCTCCCACTAAACCGGAGCTCATTTGCCTCGGTCATCCCGGGCTCCAACACGGGCCCTAAATCAGTGCCGAGGACATCGTGGGGATAAACCATCAACATGGGGCCCCTGCGTGGTTGATACTGCCTTGTTCCCATTGCACAGGTGGGAAAATGGAGTCCCAGAGAGCAACGGGGGAGCTGTAATTCACCAGGCTACGAGCATCTAAATCAATGAACTAATTAATGAGTAAACGAGCGTGAGTAATGACGAATGGCTGACCTAGAGGGTGGGAGGGGAGGTCATTGGAGGAGTGAGAGACTGCAGGGGCACAGCGGGGTGACCGGGAGAGTGAGGTCCTCCTTCCTCCCATCCGTACCTCGGTCCACCTCCAGCTTCCAGGAAAAAGGCCCCTTTGCTGTCCTCTCAGGGAGAATCCAGACTCTCTGCCAGGCTGTTGCCTAGCAACAGTGCCCTGCCTGGCCAGCCCCGCCCTCTCAGTGGGCCAGGGCCAGGGTGCGCAGCCAACCCGGGGGCCTGGCCACTGGCAGGCAGGGAACGGGGGACCCGGGCTCCCAAGCTGAGGACAAGGATGTCAGAGATCGGGGAGGAGGCTGGGGTGGGCCTGAGGCCGGGCCAGGACCCCCCGAGGAAAGACCACGTGGAGCAGCCGTGACTCTGGCACAGGTCCCGGAACAGGGAGGGCGGATGCAGGATCCCACAGGCCTTGAGTCTCAAGTCCTGGGTTTGAGTGGACCCTGGAGCAGTCACTTCCCTCCACGGCCGGCGTGAGGAGGGAAGGCGCACAGCGGGCTTGGAGCAAGCAGGCTGCTTTCATAAGCAACGAGGGGACAGGACGATGTGCCCGCAGCCCTGGGTCTGCAGGGCCCCTGGGGAGCAGCCCCTCTCCGGCCAGGCCCTGAAGGACTTCTCCAGGTGGAAATGGGGTGAGGAGAGGGGCAATTCCTGGCGGAGGGAACAACCCCAGCGAAGGCTGGGAGCCTGAAGCTGAAGTGCATCTCATAATACCTCATGTTTGCGAATGGCCAGGCACATTTGCATTGAACCCTCACCGCAGGCCACGAGGCTGGAACGTGTGCTCCCATTTTGCAGGAAAGGGAGTGTGGGCTCAGAGACCAGCAGGGGTACTGGGGGTCACACAGCAGGTGAGCCAACTCCAGCTGCCTTTCCCCTGAATTCCTCACAGGAAGAAGAGGCTCACCTAGGGGGAGCAAGAGTGAGAAATGTGGCCACACAGTGTGCAGGGACACCCTGTGTGCGACTGGAAGCACGGTGAATTTCGAAATCTGGGCAGGGGCAATGGGGAGCCACTGATGGTTTCTGAGCTGGGAGAGGATGGCCCAGGCCAGGTCCTCAGGTCCCTCGGTGCTGCCCCGGGGCCATCTGTCTCCACCTCCTACACTCTGCCACTCTTTGCATCCATGTCCCCCACCCTCCGCCCCCACTGCCTCTCAGCCACTGTGAGGAACCATGTGTGACGGTGGAGAATGTAAAAATATACGAAAAACAACAAGGGCGACTGCGCTCGGCTATAAATACCCTGACGGCGGAATCGCTCCTCCAGTCCCCTTCCTGCTGCCTGAGGAGCGGGGGCTTGGTGTTCGGCAGGTGGAGAGGGGGACTCAGGAAGGGAGGAAGGAACGGGAATGACCGCTTGCAGACCTACTTTGTGCCAAGCGCTTTGCAAGCCTTGTCCTCACGAAACCCTGACAGTGACTCACTCCTGATCCCCTCTTTACAGATAAGGAAACTGAAGCACGAGAAGTAGGTCATCTGGCCAAGGCCACTCAGTCACACGGCCTGGGAGGGAGCCGGGCAGCTGGAGCTCCTGCAAGCTCCGCCTGGCGGGAGAGGCCAAGCCGGCCTCCGGCCAGCTCTGCAAGCAGAGGAGGCCGCCTGGGGTCCCTCCAAGGTCCGAGAGGGCCCACGGTCCCAGGTGCCCGCGGCTTCCACCCCTTCCATGGCTCCCCATCGCCCTGGGCCAAAGGACATGCTCCTGGGTGCGGCCCTGGGGTGCTGTGGTCTGCCCTCTGCCCACGTCCCTGTGGGTGCCCGGGTCTCTGAGCCACGGCCACGTGGACCCTCTAAGGGGAGCTTCACAGGACTGAGCCTCTCTCTGTCGGTCCTTGCCACTTCATTTTCCGGGGCTAGGTCACCCTTGGTGCCACCTCCTCAGGGAAGACACCAGGCTTCCTCCACTGCCCTGAGGGCCCTCCCCCAGGACCCCAGGCCCGGTCCCAATCTTGAGGGCTTCTCAGTGGCCAGGGGAGGAAGGTGCCTCCTCTGGTGAGTGGCCAGGGCTGTGGTGGCAGCAGTGTGACCTGGCCTTGGAGACCGGCTGGAGGTGTGGGGTGCAGGGCCCTGGAGGGGAGTCAGCACTGGGGCGCTGGGAAGAGGAAAGAAAATGGAGGCGGGAGGGACAGGAAGGGACTCCTGGGGCCCCTGCTGGGGGACACACAGGGTGCTGACTGAGGACAGAAATGAACTGGCTCCATCTCTGGGCCTTCATCCTGCTCCCGGCCCATTCCCCCTCTGGCCAGGGGGCTGAAAGGCGAGTGGGAGGTTGTTCCCTTCAGGGCCGTCCCCCCCCCCACCCCAGGGCCAGCGCAGCCCACGGAAAGATCGCGGGAGCCGCTGGAGCAAGTTGGAATTTTAACTTTCCAGGAGTCCCTTTTTAAAAAAATAAAGGAAAAGCAAATTGAAGTTAGTTTTAACATTTTATTTAACCCAATATGCTCCAAATATTCTTTCTATATATGATCAAGATAAAAAATTATTGAGACATGTTCCTTTCTTTTTTTTTTAATACTAAGTCTTCCAGATCCAGTGTGTGTTTTACACTGACCACCCTCAGTGTGGAGCAGCTGTGGGTCCACTGCCCAGTAGCCACGTGGCCAGCAGCTGCTGTACTGGACCGCACGGCTCTGGATGTGAAGCCCCTGAGAGTCAGGACTGTGATGAGACCCACCATTATGATCTCCAGGGTCTGGTGCATAGGGGATGGTCAGGAGGTGTTTGTTGATTGACTGACTGAATGAATCAATGTCCAAGATCTTAAAGGACCTAAAGGGAGGCTGTCAACTCAGGCCATGGGAAGAGCGTGGAGATGAGTCTAGTCTCACATTCGTCTCCAATTCTCTGAGTCCTGCCCCTCCCCAGACCACAGTTCCCCCATCTGGGTTGGATGTGGTGACTTCTCTGAGCTCTCTCTAGAGGAATGTCCCCTCAGTGTCCCTGCCCTGCTCCACCTCACGACCCTGTCCTCCCTCTCCCTGTGTGTGAGACGAGGTCTCCGGAAAGGCCCCGGGTGACCTTCTGTACAGAGGGGACCAGACCCCACAGGGGGAAGCTGAGGAAGAGCAGCTGCCACACACTGCCTGGGCACAGGGAACGAGGACCTGTGGGTGCTGACACCTCCGTCACCCCACACCCCACAGGGGTCCAGAGCTGGGAGGAGAGTGGGGCCGGCTTGTCGCTCTGATTCTGCAGGAGTGAAACAGGAGGGCCAAGGGGCCAGAGAGCAGGTCCCGGGGCAGGAGAGGACTGACCCTTTGCCTGGGAACCCTGTTTTCCTCCTCCAAAGTCTGGGTACAAAACCTGGCTTCTTCCTGTCAGCGCCTCGAATCCAGGTTCCGCTACCTAACAGCCCGCTGGCCTTGGAAAGACGCTTTACTTAGCCTCAGTGGCCTTATTTGTTCAAGGGATCCTAATATCAGCAACCACAGGAATCTCTGAGCCCTTGAAACGTGTCCCCACACAGGAGCCCACGGGGTGCCTGGGACACGGTCAGGGCACCTTGAGGCCATCGTGAACTCCAGAGTCGCGTTCCTTGGCGGCGGCAGGACGACTGTTGTGGATTCAGAATCCCAGGTGGCTTTGGAGACCATAAAGCCCTTTGTGAGGACTTTCGAGACTGTTGAGAGCCGTGCACGTCGGGGACCAAGTGGCCTTTCAAAGACATGGGCAAGAAGTGGGGTGGGCGAGGGGAGGGGAGACGCAGCCCCTCCCTGTGCCCGGGAGATTCCAGCCGTCTGCAGATTCCTGCGATTCTGCTCCAGGCCAGAGCGGCCTCTGCGCTGACTCAGCGCGGCCCAGGGATGGCGATGGCGGGACCTGCCCAGCTTCCTCGCACTCACGCCTTGTTTTCTTTCTGCCACAAAAGCCATGAACTTGACATCCTTTGAAGATTTCCTTACTGGGCTGAGGGGGCGGGGAGCTCCAGGCCTCTGGTGACCTTGCTCCGACGTCTTGGGGCTGCTCCCCACCAAGGAAGGATCGCGGGCGCCAGGGCTGAGGGCAGGTGGGGGCCACTGCCTCGGAGCCACTATGGGGCCAGCACAGGGAAGGTCCGGCTTCCAAGGCCACCTTCTCATCTGTGACCGTGGGCGAGTTCTTTTCCCTCTCTAAGCCTGAGTCCCTCAACTGTCACATGGGGTCAGTGATGCTCATCTTGTGTTTGCGTCATTCAGTGGCTTGGTATGCAGGCAAGTTCTGTCCCTGCGTCCGCCCACAGGCCTGAGGGCCTTCTAATAAGGGAGAGGCGAATGGCAAGGCAGCTTCTGGAGGCTAGGGATTATGAGCACGGGTTTCCAAATCAGGAAGATCTGAGTTTGAATCTTGCCTCTGCAACATACCAGCTGTGTGTTTTTAGGCAAGTCACATTCCCTCTCTGAGCCTCAATATCCTCTGCTATAAAACTGGCACAATAATATAGTCTCTACCTCATAAAATGTTGGCAGGAGGACTGGGAATGTGGCTCAGTGGTAGAGTGCTTGCCTGGCACGTGCAAGGCCCTGGGCCCAGTTCCCAGCACCACAAACAGAACAAAACCAGAAATGTCTGCAAGGGTTCAGAGACATGGTCCTATGGCGGGTGGCACAGGGAGCCTGGAAGAGGAGAGCTGCTCAACGAGTGGCGCCCACTCCCCTCCCCAAACTGCAGCCCTTTCTCCCCGCTGCCTCGGTGCCTCGGCACATTTGCAGGTGTTAGATAAAAGCGTCTGGGCCAGTCAGCACCCTGCACCTGGGGCCTCCTCGACCCCCCTTGAACTTCTCTGGTACAGTCCCCCTCCTTGTCCCTGCCCGGCCCATGTCTCTGTGTGCTGTTGACCCTGCTCCTGTTGGGACTCAGCTCCTTTGAGCCCCTCCCTACAACCACGCACAAGCACCCTTTTCACAGGGAGGAGAGTCTACACTGTAGGCACACAAGTGAGCTGAACAAGCCCCGTCAGGATTGTCACTGCTGTGCAGTCTGCCTGCCCTCTGAGTGCATCCCTGGCTTGCTCCGTCCTACCGTCACTAGTCCATAGATTCCCTGGGGGCCAGGGCTATGGCCTTCATCCACTGTGTCCCAGCACCCAGCACAGTCAGTACCTGGCCCACAGTCAGTGGGTAGCTCGGAACTACCAAACACAGGGTGAGTAAATGGATAAATGAGAGGGAAAGAGATCACTGAGGCAGGGGTGAACTGCATGGCTGTCCAGCGCCCTCAGCTGACTGTTAGGGTCTGTAAACAAGTCAAGATGGCGCCTGGCATTTTGCCAGAGGGAGTGGTTTGTGAAGTAACGCCAGCGAGCCATTAAGTGTGGAGATTCCTTATTGGTTGACTGCTATATCTAGTTTATGTTAATTAAGATACGATGTGTGGAATGTATATATACCCCTCCTGTCCTACGATAAATGGCTCCCACTCCTGCTGTATCAATGTACACAAGTTGTTCGTCACCCCACGGTTAGTTTGCTACAGCCGGACTGCGGCAGCTGTCAAAGGTCAGTTGTGGGCCATGGGAACTGTATGAGTCAGCTTCTTGTTACTGTAATGGAATGCCTGAGGCAGTCTAACTTTACAAAGAATAAAGGTCCATTTGGCTTCCAGTTCTGGACAGTCTTGGGCATCATGATGGCATCAGCTCAGCTCTGGTGTAGACTCTCTTAGCTTGTGTCACATTGTAGCAGATGGCAGTGGTGGCAGCAAGGGATCACATCTTATCCAGGAAAGCAGAGCAAGTGAAGTGGGGCCAGATGCAGGCCAGGTAACAGCCTCTGGGCAAGAAGGACTTTATGCCCTCCAAGGGTAGGAACATGTGTGGGCTTGGGAGCCATCGCAGACCTGGGTTTGAACCCCACGTCTCCCAGCCCTACATTCTGGGAAAGTTACTTAATCGGCAGTCAGAATTCCTCCCCCAGGGGCTGGATGGGGGGAATCAGTAAGAAAATGTTGTAGAATTACCTGGTCCAGGGCCTGGCCTAGGTGTGGTCTTCCTGAATGAGCTTGGGGTAGGAGTGGGGACAGGTGTGGCCCCACCGCTGCCCTGAGCTCCTGATGGGAAGAGCACTGGACGGGGAGAAAGGAGGCAGGTTCTGGTCCATTGGGATGTGTGGCCTTGGCCAAGTCACTCCCACCACGCAGCCTCGTTGACCTCCCTTCGGCTCAATCCTGGGAGGTAGTTAATGGTGAGCTTTGGGAGCAGAGAGACCTGGTTCAGCCAATTATGTAAGGCAAGGCACCCAACCTCTCCGAGCCTCAGTTTCCTCATCTGTAAGACAAACATCCATTGGTGCACATGACTCTTCCCAATTCTGCATTCAGAACTTAGAATAGCTTAAAATCAACCACAGTGGGAGAATTCACACCGAGGTCATCAGCGAGCTTTAGAAATCAGCATGCAGGGGCTGGGGATGTGGCTCAAGCGGTAGCACGCTTGCCTGGCATGCGTGCGGCCCAGGTTCGATCCTCAGCACCACATACAAACAAAGATGTTGTGTCCACCGAAAACTAAAATAAATAAATAAATACATATTTAAAAAAAAAAAAAAACAGTGACAGTCTGTTCCCCAGGGTACTCCAGATAATGGTAACTTCCACCCTGGGTGCTGGGAGAGTCAGTTATTCTCCATTTTTCTAAGCATGTCGCACAACCCCTGGGGCCCAGTGGATCAGCACATGCTGGTCAAACTCAGCTTTGTCCCTGGCCTGCTGCGAGATGCTCACATCTGTCGTCTCATACAACTTTACAGCTCTAGGAGGTCTCCAGGGAAGGACATTCAGGCTTAGACAGGCTTGCTAACTTCCAATGCAATCAGCTATTGCTGGCCTACTGTGTGCTGAATTATCATTTTATATCCCTCTCATTTCGGCCTCACGATACTCTCTCTCGTGGCAGATGAGGACTCAAAGGCCCAGGGCGGGCAAGTGACCTGCCCAAGGTCACCCATTTTCTCTGAGCCTTGGTATCGGTCTTGAACGTGTGTCTGCCAGGCACCCCCCCACCCCACCCGCGGCATCTCCCTCCGGATGAGGGCAGGCTTTGCTGACATGCTCTCTCTGGTCCTCTCTGGCCCTTTCAGCTCCGACAGCCTGGGTATTTAAATCAGCACATGAATATTTCACAAGCATCCTGAGCGAAAATAACCCCCTGCCTGGTTATGTCAGGCTGCAGCCCTGGTCGCTGGGCCGCAGCTCTCTTGCTATTTACGAGACTTGCTATTCCGCGAGGCCTCCCAGCAGCAGCCCACGGAATCGATAGTCTTTAAATAAGTAATTAGAGGAACTGAAGACGTCGTCGGCAGGGCCAGGAAGGGGGGTGGGGGCGGAGATCGACACAGACTCTGCCACGTTTGCGAGCAGGGCCCTTCAGCCTGGGGTAGGGCCAGAGACAGGGAAGGGCAGGAAAGAGGAGAAGAGGAAGGAGACCCTAGTTGGCCCTTGCTCTGTGTCCCACTTTGTCTCATTACTGCCATATCCAACATCCTAAAGTCATTGAAGCTCAGAGAGGGGAGGTCAGTGGCCTAGCACCACACAGCCAGCAAGTAGCCGAGGTGGCAGGTCCGTCTGACTTCACGGCGGGGTGGTGCTGTGGACGTTGGGAGTAACTGTGGTGGGAGTGGCCCCATCACTGCAGGATGGTTCACCAGCTGCCCTGGCCTCAGGCTAGGTGCCAGCTGCACATCCTCCCCACTGAGACAACAAAAAAAATATCTTCAGACGTCATTTCCCAATGTCCTCTGGGAGCTAAAGTCACCCTGGTTGAGGGCCACAGCGGTGGAGGCCTGTGTTCACGATGCCACTCCCTCCTCTGCGTTTGGGATAAGAACTAAAGTCCTTCTCTTAATCTAGAGAGGCAGCTCGGGAGCCAAAGCTAACTTGGACGCTAACTTGGCTCCTCACTGGCTGTGCCATCTTGAGCTGAGTTCTCAACCTTTCTGTGCCTTAACATCCTTCTCTGTAAAATGGGGTCCTCCCAAAAGGTTAAGCATGAGGTTTAACCCAGTCAGTGGGTACAAATCATCTGGAACAGCACCTGGCCGCACTGTTGGGGTCCCAGGGGCCGCATGACCAAGCCCCAGCGGCTTTCTGCGGCATCCCTGAGGCACGCCCCCTCCTACCGGCCCCAGAGGAGGTGGGAAAGCAGCCAGGGAGGCCTTTGGTCCCAGAGGATCCCGGGGTAATAGGCAGCAGAGCTGAGCTTCCTCGCTCCTGCGACCGTCTGTGCCTGGGAAGGAGCAGGCGCTGCCCGAGGTCACTGGGGCGGCCCACCCAGAGGTCTACCGCCTGCAGGCCCCTGGAAGGGTGGAGCAAGCTGACCCGGCTTTTCCCAGGATCACTGGACAGCGAGTCCAGCCCCGCCTGCCTGCGGGCCCCAGGGTCACCCAGGGCTGTACGAAGGCCCCCATATCATGGCTCCACATGGCTCCTTCCTCTCCTGCAGTGCGTGTTCCTGGTCGGTGGCCGAGCCTCCCCCAGGGGTGACTCGGGAACCCAGGCTCCCTCTCGCTGTGGGCCACCCTCCCCAGAGCCTCCAAATGGACTGTTCATGCAGGACAGGGACAGGCGGAGGGACAGGGACGGGAGGTTTTTATGGGCCAGGCCTGGAAGTGGCCCTGGTCACTTCTGTCCATGTTCCAGGGGCCAAACCTAAGTCACATGCCACACCTACCCTTGGGGGAGGCTGGGAAAGGTCGCCTGACTGAGTCCAGGAGGAAGAGACAGACAGGTGGCCAGCGGCCAGGTCTCAGTGCCTGGGCTGAAGGCTACAGGGGCAGAAAGGCCCAAGACAGGGGACCTGGCCTCATAGAGCTCAGGGTCTAATGGCAGGTGAGGGGTGAGGTGGCCACAGAATAGACAGGAACTATCGCCCGGCTGGCCCTTGTAGCCATGGATCACCAGGGCCATTTACTTCTCCCTGGGCCCCCACCGTCCTTGCTAGCTCAGTCCAGTGGAGTCAGCCGTCCTGTTTCTAAAGGGTCGCAGAGAAGCAACTCGAAGTTCTGCTCTGCCTCAGGCCCACGGTCTTCCCTTTTGGGGAGAAAGGAGGGGGCTGCTCTCCTTAGGGGTGCACGTCCCTGGACGCCACCGCAAGCCTGTGCTCCCGTCAGAGCAGCACTAGCCTGGCCACCCGCCAACCCTCCAGAACCGGCTACCGCAGGCCCTCCCCGCTGTGGTCAGCCAGCATCCACCTGGGGGCGTCCCCAGGAGGTGGGAAGAGCCCCCCTCTTAGGGCAGCTGAGTGGGCAGGTGCTCTGCAGTCCCAGAGACTAGACCATGGACATGTGGCCTGCAGCGTGGCCAAGTGGACGCACCCTCCCAGGACTCGAAGCTCTAGAGTGACGCCAGGACACAGGGTCAGTCAGACACTCAAAAACTGGCGCCCAGCGGTGGGCATGTGGCGAGTCATCTTTGTGTCTGGAGGCGCCAGCAGGGGCACCGTGACCAGCTGGCAGGAAGCAGCCTCCCGCCTGGCACCTTGGCAGGCTCACCTCTCTGGGTTCCCGTCAGGCCTGTCCCTCCAGTTTCCCTGTCAATTGTAGAAGCCACCTGATCCTTTTCCAAACAACTCCTTTAGTGACCTCCGAGCAGTCTTTGCTTCCGGCCAAGCACCCTGGCTGACCCAGTCTCAGCACTGCCCCTGGGTTACCAGAGCTCCCTCCTGCCCGCCTCCCCCAGGCCCAGCTCAGACCCCGACAGCTTCAGCACCTACCACCCGAGGCTGAGGCACCCAGCTCTTTCCTCCAGAGGTTCCGAGCAGGTCTCTGGCTATCCCGTCTCCCCCCACCGCCAACACGCGCAACTCGGGAGGCTGTGACAGACCCACCGTCATGGGTTCACTCTGTCATATTCTATTTTATTCATCTAAAACCACGTTTCTGCTGGGCCTGTGGCACACGCCTGTCGTCCCAACGACTCGGGAGGCTGAGGCAGGAGGATCACAAATTCCAGGCCAGCCTAGGCAACTTGGTGAGACCCTGCCTCAAAATAAAAAGGGCTGGGGATGTGGCCTCGTGGTAGAGTGGCCCTGGGTTCAAGCCCTGGTACCAGAAAAAATAAAAATCTAAAAAATTAAAGACACACAATTCTGAGGAAGGGTTTAAAGGCTTCACCTGATGCCACGGGGTCCAGGACACTGAGAAGGCGAGCGTCACTCTGGACTGTGGCTTCCACATCGCAGAAGCACCGCGAGTTCTTCCGTGGCCTGGACCCCCCTTGCCTCGGGTTTGAGGGAAGCCCATTCTCCCACTCTGTTCCTTCTGGAAAGATCCCCTTCTTGGGACGAGCTCCTCTCCCACGCTCTCTAGGTGGGTGGTCCGGGCACTTGCCGCGTTGTCCCAGCCCCTTACTCCCTGGCCCTGGCTGACTGCTGAAGGGGGTCCTGACCCAAGCCAAGCAGCCAGACCCTTGCCTGAAATTTTCTTTTTAACAAAAACCTGGAACTGGGGGCGACAGCTGTGCTCTGGCTGGTGAGGACTCGGAGCTGAGGCCAGGCTTCTTCCCCACAAAGCAGAAGAGGCCGATCTGAGTGGAGAGGGCGGCTGGACGGGGAGAGTGGGGCGGGGCTGGCCAAGAACCAGTGGTGGCCCTGCTCCCTGCCACCGGGTTCCTCTCGGCCTCCTTGAGCTCCCACCTAACGG